GTTATTATCTCTGCCATGTATGCTTTGTCTTTTAGTGCTGAGGGTGACTGTTACTGGTGTGTGCCGCCTGACCCAGGTATAGCCGCTGCTGCTCTAGGTGCTAGTGCGTCTGGTACCCCCCCTGGTACTGTGCCTGCTGAGGCCCTGCACACCTTCACGTTAGACTCCGGCGCCTCGCTCTGTTTCTTTCGTGACAGCACCACTCTCACTCCTCTTCCTGCACCTGTTCCACTGCGTGTTCCTCTGCCTGCTCCTCCTGAGTCCTCTCTTCCTGAGGTCCCTGACCCTGAGTCTGACCGAGCGCGTGCTGCCAGTCCCACTGTCGCTCGTCTCCTTGCCACTGCTGTCACTGACCCGTCCTTTGAGTCTGCTGCTGCTTCTGCTCTCGTTGCTGAGCTACTTGACTTTGCTGCTGCCTGCCGTCTCGACTACGCCTCTGCTCTAGTTGCTGAGTCTGTGCCTGCCAGTCCTCCGTCCGTCGGGGGTGAGTGTGCTCTTGGCATGGACGTCCTTGAGGACAGGCAGGAGGACTTTGAGTGTCTTGCAGCTGCTGTACCTCGTTTTGCCTCCTTGCTGCTTGCCCCTGAGGGAGACCCGGATGCTCTTGACATCCCGACCCCGCGCTCTTACGCAGAGGCGATTACGGGTCCTTACTCCTCTCAGTGGCAGGCAGCTATGGATGCCGAGATGGCATCCTGGAACTCCACAGGCACTTACGTCGACGAGGTTCCCCCACCTGGGGTGAACATAGTCGATGGCATGTGGATCTTCAGGGTGAAGCGGCCGCCGGGTTCTCCGCCTGCCTTCAAGGCACGTTACGTTGCTCGAGGTTTCAGTCAGCGACAGGGAGTTGACTACTTCCAGACCTTCTCCCCCACCCCGAAGATGACTACTCTTCGGGTGTTGCTGCACGTAGCTGCTCAGCGTGACTACGAGTTACACTCCCTGGACTTCAGTACTGCCTTCCTGCAGGGCAGCCTGCACGAGGAGATCTGGCTGAGCCGACCACCTGGTTTCACTGGGTCGTTTCCTACAGGTACCCAGTGGAGCCTCCGCCGGCCAGTCTACGGTCTCCGCCAGGCGCCTCGCGAGTGGCACGACACACTCAGGACTACGCTTGCGGCTCTTGGGTTTGTTCCTTCTACAGCAGACCCGTCGCTGTTTCTACGCACCGACACCTCGCTGCCGCCCTTCTACGTCCTAGTGTACGTCGACGACCTCGTCTTTGCCACGGCTGACACTGAGGCACTGACCCTAGTGAAGTCCGAGCTGCAGAAGAGACATACCTGCACTGACCTGGGTGAACTGCGCAGCTACCTTGGCCTGCAGATCACCCGGGACAGAGCACGGCGCACCATCACACTGACTCAGTCACACACCAGGTCCTTCAGCGCTTCGGCTTCCAGTACTCCTCGCCACAGCTCACTCCTCTGTCTACCAGCCACTCGCTCTCAGCTCCACCTTCGGACGAGTCCGTAGAGCCGAGTGGTCCGTACCCAGAGCTTGTGGGTTGCCTCATGTACCTGATGACTTGCACACGACCTGACCTCGCGTACCCTCTCAGCCTTCTGGCTCGCTACGTGGCTCCCGGTAGGCACCGAAAGGTGCACTGGGATGCTGCGAAGAGGGTACTGCGTTACCTGTGCAGTACGTCGGGCATGGGGCTTGTGCTTGGAGGACGGGGTCCTGTTGTCCTCACTGGTCACGCAGACGCCTCCTGGGTTGACGACTCAGCTACGCAGCGGTCGTCGCAGGGTTACACCTTCAGCCTTGGGTCCGGCTCGGTTTCTTGGCGGTCTACCCGCTCGTCTTCAGTTCTCAGCTCCAGCTGTGAGGCTGAGATCTACGCTGGAGCTATGGCTGCTCAGGAGCTACGCTGGCTCACCTACTTGTTGACCGACCTGGGAGAGCAGCCTCGTTCGCCTCCAGTCCTGTACGTAGACTGCTTTGCCGCACTTACTTACTGCCTGACTCTGCCTGCACTGTGATCTATCTATATACCTGCATGCTTACACTTGTTAGGGTATGATCACTGTATTGTTTGTTCACTGTATATAACTCTGCATGTGAACTGGCCTTTTGGCCCTTTGCTTGTGCTCGGACTGTGTGGTGACTTTGTGATCCACCCTGAGCTTGCTTTGCTTTTCTTGACTGGTCTTGTGACCATTACTTGTTCTCGCTATCCCCCACTTCGCCTATGGGGGTGTGTCAAACATATATGCTTAGCTATATCTAGGCTTAGTTCATGTGTTTACATTTGTCTAGGCTATAGTGGGTTTAGCCTTAGGGGGTACAGAATTCTCTCGACATTCTACTTGTACCCTTCCTTGCTTCCTAGTCAATCATTCTCACCTAAGGATTCTAACACAACTCTCAAGGAGGCCTTGGAGAGTAGTGATGCTGAGGAGTGGAAGAAGGCAATGGAGAGTGAGCTGAAGAGCATTGAGGAGAACGGCACGTGGGAATTGGTGGAGCTACCGGAGGGGCGTAAGGCAATTACGTCCAAGTGGCTCTTCAAGATCAAGTCCGACGCCGACGGCAAGATCGAGCGCTACAAGTCTAGGCTTGTGGTGAAGGGGTACCAGCAGAATGAGAAGGTGGACTATAAGGAGTTGTTTGCTCCTGTGGTGAAGCCGACGACGCTGAGAACCCTACTAGCGGGAGCTGCCATCAAAGGATGGGTGGTGAAACAAATGGATGTCACAACGGCATTCCTCAACGGCGTCCTTGAGGAAGAGATTTTTATGGCGCAACCAGAGGGGTTTGATGATGGTAGTGGCAGAGTTCTGAGGCTGAAGAAGGCCCTTTATGGACTGAAGCAGGCCCCTAGGCAGTGGTACTTGAAGCTGCAAGGAGTTTTGGAGGAGATAGGCTTCACTCCCTCATCCGCCGATCATTCCTTGTTCATGCTTGGCGAGGGGGAGCAGAGGAGTTTCATGGTGGTTTATGTGGATGACATCCTCATTTTCTCACCCTCTTCTGACCTTGTGAAGGAGGTGATGCTGAAGCTTCAAGACAAGTTCAAGTGCAAGGCCCTTGGTGACGTGAGCTTCTACCTCGGGCTTCACATTGAACGCGATGTGGAGAAGCGGTGCATGCGGGTGCATCAACGAAAGTACCTGGAGGCATTGGCTGCCAGTTTTGGGCAGAGTGAAGGCCATGTGGCTACACCCTTTCCCTCTGGGTTCAAGTGTGTGAAGGGACCAGAGGAGGAGAGCGTTGGTGAAGAGGAGAGGCGCCGTTTTCAATCGTTGGTGGGCAGCCTCATGTACGCGGCGGTAAACACCTGACCGGACGTCGCGTTTGCTACCGGACAGTTGGCTAGGGTTGTTCAATGCCCTAATGAGGAGCAGGTAGCAGCTGGAATGAGGGTGGCCAAGTATCTTGGCCAAAGACCTACCGTTGGGCAGCACCACCGAAGCCACGTCCTCTGCCATGTCGGCTCCCTTGCATCCCGTAGCCACTGCTGCCGTCGTCTCCACTCCTCAGTTGGCGGCGACGGAAGTCCTCCTCCAGAATCTTCTTCCGCACCCACTCGAGCGTCCACAAGCTCTGGTTCTACGGCAGGCTCAATCTGCTCGTGAATTGAAGCCACGATTCTGGCAGCAGCGAGAGCATCTTCAAGCACCTGGTCTGCTCCCGGTAGGTGTTTCTCGCGGTAGCCAACTACGCATAGAGGTCGCGCATCTTGTCCAGGACAGGTTGCACCAGCTCTCCCTCGCTGAGGCGCAACGAGGACAGCTCCCTCTCCAGCATTAACGGAGGTTGGGACGTGCAGCTCCTTCAACACGATCCACGCCTTCGGACCACACTTATCCTCAGGCAGCAGGTGCATGACGTGGTGTCGCTGGTTCGGTTCCAAACTCTGCGACATTAAGTAGTAGCCAGCCGAAGAGTGCTCATCCCATTCTTCCTGCAGTGCGGGGTCACTCGGTCTAGGCTCCTCCCCAATCATTAGTAGCAATCCAATCTGACGGAAATACAATTGCAATTTCCAGGCCAAATCATCATAGCCCTCACCATTGAACTTCTCGATGGTGAAGTTATTGAGCACCTCCTTGATCAGTGAGCCCTGGTTTGTTCGCGCTCCCCTTGGCGCCGAAACACCAGAATCTTGGCTGCTGCTACAATCTTGGGCTGAAGATTTGTTGGTGCAACCCTACGGTTTGCATTCGGCTTGTTGTCCGTGTGCGTGCATGCGTGTGTGCATGGAATGGTATGAGGGCATGAGATAATATATATTTCATTCTTACAATAGTGTGTGAATGATGAGGCATGATTTTGAATGTGTGTGTCGAGTCAATAGCGAGTTATCGCTAGTCGTGTGTTACGTCGTCGTTTGCGTGTCGTGTGCGGTTTTCTATTTTGTCGTGTGTGGAACGTTCGGCGTGTCGCACGTGTGCGCAGAAGACTTCCAAGAACTCAAGGAAGAATTACCCAAACACATCAGTGTAGGCCCTAAATTTCACCCTTCTCATCAGTATAGCAGTGTGATTTACACTGATAAAATAGGCCCTGTTCGTGGCCTCAAGCCAACACTGCAGACATCTTCACCAAGGCCCTAGCGCCTACTAACCACCACTTGTTCTGTTTGTAGTTAGGCCTTGTTGACATTGCTGCTAGGCTGCTGTAGCATTGTTTCTTGTTGCTTGTTCTGCTTGTCCTTGCATCTATATATATTTGTGAACTCTTCAACTGGTTTTGTGGCCGTTTGCTTGTGCTCGGAATGTGTGGTGATCTTGAGATCCACCCTGAGCGTTGTCTTGTTGCTTTTCTTGACTGGTCTTCAGACCCTTTGTTTCCCTTGTTTGTTTTTTATGCCCCTCACTTAGCCTATGGGGGTGTGTCAAATGTTATATTAGCTTCTTAGGCTACGGTGAGTAGCACCATAGGGAATACAACCCTTTTAGGGTTGCTATTTGTATGCCTTGTTTCTACTCACACACCATTCCGCTATGCATTACTTTTGAGACTGAGCGAACGAGGAGTCAGTCGGAGCCATGTGGAGCACAGAGGTGAGCGAGCCAGCGCTGGTGCTGAGAGAAGAGCCCACACACCACCTGCACCTCCTCCTCCCCATGCGTCCTCAAGTCACCCGGTAGCCACAGCGGCCCATCCACTCCCTCCTCTCCCTCCTCCCCCTTCCATCCCTCCCCTCCCTCCCATCCCTCCCTTTCCTCCCCTCCTCTCCACCCCTCCCTCCCCTCCATTCCACCCTCGCCCCCCACGCCCTGCTTCCCACCCACATCCGCCTCTCCAGCAGGCACGGCCGGCAGGTGCCGCCCGATCGCCACAGGTGCAGTGGTGGTGGCTGTGAGGTGGCGGGGCGGTGGAGCGAGGCGGGTGTGGGCGTGGTGGCAGGCGAGGAGCAGCATCATGGCGGTGTCGGGCTGTTAGACTGCCCGCCGCCACAAACAGCGTCACCGCACTGCACCGTGGGGGAAGGGGGAGGGGGGAGTGAGGGTGTGTGGCAATGAACGGGTGGGATGTGGAATTGTGAAGAAGGGAGGGTGGGCTTTGCACGTAGAGAGAACACAGAGAGGAAGCAGAAGCAGGTGAACGTTGAAAGCGTATGAGGAGTTATCATCGACGACATCCCTCATTTCATCCACATTATCTCAATGCCTCACCACCACCCCCCATCACACGATATTGATTTCTTGCTACAACAGAACATATTGCCATGCTTAACCGCCGCTCACCGCCACAGGTCATGCTCGTTGTTGAGAGTGTGTTGCGCCCATCGGTGCAGCACCCTGCAGCATGCCCGGCCATGCGGTGGGGGACATGCCATGCCACGCACATGGGATGGAGGGCATGTGTTGGCAAATCGTGGGGTGCGCAGCGAGTTATGGTGATCTCGCAAGAAGGCAAGTGAAACAGTTGGAACGATGGCATGCACAATGATGGCATGCACAATGATGGCATGCACAATGATGGCATGCACAATGATGGCATGCACAATGATGGCATGCACAATGATGGCATGCACAATGATGGCATGCACAATGATGGCATGCACAATGATGGCATGCACAATGATGGCATGCACAATGATGGCATGCACAATGATGGCATGCACAATGATGGCATGCACAATGATGGCATGCACAATGATGGCATGCACAATGATGGCATGCACAATGATGGCATGCACAATGATGGCATGCACAATGATGGCATGCACAATGATGGCATGCACAATGATGGCATGCACAATGATGGCATGCACAATGATGGCATGCACAATGATGGCATGCACAATGATGCATGCACAATGATGGCATGCACAATGATGGCATGCACAATGATGGCATGCACAATGATGGCATGCACAATGATGGCATGCACAATGATGGCATGCACAATGATGGCATGCACAATGATGGCATGCACAATGATGGCATGCACAATGATGGCATGCACAATGATGGCATGCACAATGATGGCATGCACAATGATGGCATGCACAATGATGGCATGCACAATGATGGCATGCACAATGATGGCATGCACAATGATGGCATGCACAATGATGGCATGCACAATGATGGCATGCACAATGATGGCATGCACAATGATGGCATGCACAATGATGGCATGCACAATGATGGCATGCACAATGATGGCATGCACAATGATGGCATGCACAATGATGGCATGCACAATGATGGCATGCCACAATGATGCATGCACAATGATGGCATGCACAATGATGGCATGCACAATGATGGCATGCACAATGATGGCATGCACAATGATGGCATGCACAATGATGGCATGCACAATGATGGCATGCACAATGATGGCATGCACAATGATGGCATGCACAATGATGGCATGCACAATGATGGCATGCACAATGATGGCATGCACAATGATGGCATGCACAATGATGGCATGCACAATGATGGCATGCACAATGATGGCATGCACAATGATGGCATGCACAATGATGGCATGCACAATGATGGCATGCACAATGATGGCATGCACAATGATGGCATGCACAATGATGGCATGCACAATGATGGCATGCACAATGATGGCATGCACAATGATGGCATGCACAATGATGGCATGCACAATGATGGCATGCACAATGATGGCATGCACAATGATGGCATGCACAATGATGGCATGCACAATGATGGCATGCACAATGATGGCATGCACAATGATGGCATGCACAATGATGGCATGCACAATGATGGCATGCACAATGATGGCATGCACAATGATGGCATGCACAATGATGGCATGCACAATGATGGCATGCACAATGATGGCATGCACAATGATGGCATGCACAATGATGGCCATGCACAATGATTGGCATGCACAATGATGGCATGCACAATGATGGCATGCACAATGATGGCATGCACAATGATGGCATGCACAATGATTGGCATGCACAATGATGGCATGCACAATGATGGCATGCACAATGATGGCATGCACAATGATGGCATGCACAATGATGGCATGCACAATGATGGCATGCACAATGATGGCATGCACATGATGCATGCACTAATGATGGCATGCACAATGATGGCATGCACAATGATGGCATGCACAATGATGGCATGCACAATGATGGCATGCACAATGATGGCATGCACAATGATGGCATAGCACAATGATGGCATGCACAATGATGGCATGCACAATGATGGCATGCACAATGATGGCATGCAACAATGATGGCATGCACAATGATGGCATGCACAATGATGGCATGCCACAATGATGGCATGCACAATGATGGCATGCACAATGATGGCATGCACAATGATGGCTAGGCATCCACAATGATGGCATGCACAATGATGCATGCACAATGAGGCATGCACAATGATGGCATGCCACAATGATGGCATGCACAATGATGGCATGCACAAATGATGGCATGCACAATGATGGCATGCACAATATGGCATGCACAATGATGGCATGCACAATGATGGCATGCACAATGATGGCATGCACAATGATGGCATGCACAATGATGGCATGCACAATGATGGCATGCCACAATGATGGCATGCACAATGATGGCATGCACAATGATGGCATGCACAATGATGGCATGCACAATGATGGCATGCACAATGATGGCATGCACAATGATGGCATGCACAATGATGGCATGCACAATGATGGCATGCACAATGATGGCATGCACAATGATGGCATGCACAATGATGGCATGCACAATGATGGCATGCACAATGATGGCATGCACAATGATGGCATGCACAATGATGGCATGCACAATGATGGCATGCACAATGATGGCATGCACAATGATGGCATGCACAATGATGGCATGCACAATGATGGCATGCACAATGATGGCATGCACAATGATGGCATGCACAATGATGGCATGCACAATGATGGCATGCACAATGATGGCATGCACAATGATGGCATGCACAATGATGGCATGCACAATGATGGCATGCACAATGATGGCATGCACAATGATGGCATGCACAATGATGGCATGCACAATGATGGCATGCACAATGATGGCATGCACAATGATGGCATGCACAATGATGGCATGCACAATGATGGCATGCACAATGATGGCATGCAGAATGATGGCATGCACAATGATGGCATGCACAATGATGGCATGCACAATGATGGCATGCACAATGATGGCATGCACAATGATGGCATGCACAATGATGGCATGCACAATGATGGCATGCACAATGATGGCATGCACAATGATGGCATGCACAATGATGGCATGCACAATGATGGCATGCACAATGATGGCATGCACAATGATGGCATGCACAATGATGGCATGCACAATGATGGCATGCACAATGATGGCATGCACAATGATGGCATGCACAATGATGGCATGCACAATGATGGCATGCACAATGATGGCATGCACAATGATGGCATGCACAATGATGGCATGCACAATGATGGCATGCACAATGATGGCATGCACAATGATGGCATGCACAATGATGGCATGCACAATGATGGCATGCACAATGATGGCATGCACAATGATGGCATGCACAATGATGGCATGCACAATGATGGCATGCACAATGATGGCATGCACAATGATGGCATGCACAATGATGGCATGCACAATGATGGCATGCACAATGATGGCATGCACAATGATGGCATGCACAATGATGGCATGCACAATGATGGCATGCACAATGATGGCATGCACAATGATGGCATGCACAATGATGGCATGCACAATGATGGCATGCACAATGATGGCATGCACAATGATGGCATGCACAATGATGGCATGCACAATGATGGCATGCACAATGATGGCATGCACAATGATGGCATGCACAATGATGGCATGCACAATGATGGCATGCACAATGATGGCATGCACAATGATGGCATGCACAATGATGGCATGCACAATGATGGCATGCACAATGATGGCATGCACAATGATGGCATGCACAATGATGGCATGCACAATGATGGCATGCACAATGATGGCATGCACACATGATGGCATGCACAATGATGGCATGCACAATGATGGCATGCACAATGATGGCATGCACAATGATGGCATGCACAATGATGGCATGCACAATGATGGCATGCACAATGATGGCATGCACAATGATGGCATGCACAATGATGGCATGCACAATGATGGCATGCACAATGATGGCATGCACAATGATGGCATGCACAATGAATGGCATGCACAATGATGGCATGCACAATGATGGCATGCACAATGATGGCATGCACAATGATGGCATGCACAATGATGGCATGCACAATGATGGCATGCACAATGATGGCATGCACAATGATGGCATGCACAATGATGGCATGCACAATGATGGCATGCACAATGATGGCATGCACAATGATGGCATGCACAATGATGGCATGCACAATGATGGCAATGCACAATGATGGCATGCACAATGATGGCATGCACAATGATGGCATGCACAATGATGGCATGCACAATGATGGCATGCAATGATGGCATGCACACATGATGGCATGCACAATGATGGCATGCACAATGATGGCATGCAAATGATGGCATGCACAATGATGGCATGCACAATGATGGCATGCACAATGATGGCATGCACAATGATGGCATGCACAATGATTGGCATGCACAATGCAACAATGATGGGCATGCACAATGATGGCATGCACAATGATGGCATGCACAATGATGGCATGCACAATGATGGCATGCACAATGATGGCATGCACAATGATGGCATGCACAATGATGGCATGCACAATGATGGCATGCACAATGATGGCATGCACAATGATGGCATGCACAATGATGGCATGCACAATGATGGCATGCACAATGATGGCATGCACATGATGGCATGCAAATGATGGCATGCACAATGATGGCATGCACAATGATGGCAATGCACAATGATGGCATGCACAATGATGGCATGCACAATGATGGCATGCACAATGATGGCATGCACAATGATGGCATGCACAATGATGGCATGCACAATGATGGCATGCACAATGATGGCATGCACAATGATGGCATGCAATGCACAATGATGGCATGCACAATGATGGCATGCACAATGATGGCATGCACAATGATGGCATGCACAATGATGGCATGCACAATGATGGCATGCACAATGATGGCATGCACAATGATGGCATGCACAATGATGGCATGCACAATGATGGCATGCACAATGATGGCATGCACAATGATGGCATGCACAATGATGGCATGCACAATGATGGCATGCACAATGATGGCATTGCACAATGATGGCATGCACAATGATGGCATGCACAATGATGGCATGCACAATGATGGCATGCACAATGATGGCATGCACAATGATGGCATCACAATGGCATGCACATGATGGCATGCACAATGATGGCATGCACAATGATGGCATGCACAATGATGGCATGCACAATGATGGCATGCACAATGATGGCATGCACAATGATGGCATGCACAATGATGGCATGCACAATGATGGCATGCACAATGATGGCATGCACAATGATGGCATGCACAATGATGGCATGCATGCACAATGATGGCCAGCACAATGATGGCATGCACAATGATGGCATGCACAATGATGGCATGCACAATGATGGCATGCACAATGATGGCATGCACAATGATGGCATGCACAATGATGGCATGCACAATGATGGCATGCACAATGATGGCATGCACAATGATGGCATGCACAATGATGGCATGCACAATGATGGCATGCACAATGATGGCATGCACAATGATGGCATGCACAATGATGGCATGCACAATGATGGCATGCACAATGATGGCATGCACAATGATGGCATGCACAATGATGGCATGCACAATGATGGCATGCACAATGATGGCATGCACAATGATTGGCATGCACAATGATGGCATGCACAATGATGGCATGCACAATGATGGCATGCACAATGATGGCATGCACAATGATGGCATGCACAATGATGGCATGCACAATGATGGCATGCACAATGATGGCATGCACAATGATGGCATGCACAATGATGGCATGCACAATGATGGCATGCACAATGATGGCATGCACAATGATGGCATGCACAATGATGGCATGCACAAATGATGGCATGCACAATGATGGCATGCCAATGATGGCATGCACAATGATGGCATGCACAATGATGGCATGCCAAATGATGGCATGCACAATGATGGCATGCACAATGATGGCATGCACAATGATGGCATGCACAATGATGGCATGCACAATGATGGCATGCACAATGATTGCAATGCAGATGATGGCAGCACAATGATGGCATGCACAATGATGGCATGCACAATGATGGCATGCACAATGATGGCATGCACAATGATGGCATGCACAATGATGGCATGCACAATGATGGCATGCACAATGATGGCATGCACAATGATGGCATGCACAATGATGGCATGCACAATGATGGCATGCACAATGATGGCATGCACAATGATGGCATGCACAATGATGGCATGCACATGATGGCATGCACAATGATGGCATGCAACAAGGATGGAATGCACAATGATGCAGGCACATGATGGTAATGCACAATGATGGCATGCACAATGATGGCATGCACAAATGATGGCATGCACAATGATGGCATGCACATGATGGCATGCACAATGATGGCATGCACAATGATGGCATGCACAATGATGGCATGCACAATGATGGCATGCACAATGATGGCATGCACAATGATGGCATGCACAATGATGGCATGCACAATGATGGCATGCACAATGATGGCATGCACAATGATGGCATGCACAATGATGGCATGCACAATGATGGCATGCACAATGATGGCATGCACAATGATGGCATGCACAATGATGGCATGCACAATGATGGCATGCACAATGATGGCATGCACAATGATGGCATGCACAATGATGGCATGCACAATGATGGCATGCACAATGATGGCATGCACAATGATGGCATGCACAATGATGGCATGCACAATGATGGCATGCACAATGATGGCATGCACAATGATGGCATGCACAATGATGGCATGCACAATGATGGCATGCACAATGATGGCATGCACAATGATGGCATGCACAATGATGGCATGCACAATGATGGCATGCACAATGATGGCATGCACAATGATGGCATGCACAATGATGGCATGCACAATGATGGCATGCACAATGATGGCATGCACAATGATGGCATGCACAATGATGGCATGCACAATGATGGCATGCACAATGATGGCATGCACAATGATGGCATGCACAATGATGGCATGCACAATGATGGCATGCACAATGATGGCATGCACAATGATGGCATGCACAATGATGGCATGCACAATGATGGCATGCACAATGATGGCATGCACAATGATGGCATGCACAATGATGGCATGCACAATGATGGCATGCACAATGATGGCATGCACAATGATGGCATGCACAATGATGGCATGCACAATGATGGCATGCACAATGATGGCATGCACAATGATGGCATGCACAATGATGGCATGCACAATGATGGCATGCACAATGATGGCATGCACAATGATGGCATGCACAATGATGGCATGCACAATGATGGCATGCACAATGATGGCATGCACAATGATGGCATGCACAATGATGGCATGCACAATGATGGCATGCACAATGATGGCATGCTGGTGGCATGCACAATGATGGCATGCTGGTGGCATGCACAATGATGGCATTCTGGTGGCATGCACATTCATGGGATGATGGTGGCATGAGGTTGGAATGGTTATGGAATGAGGGTGGCATGAGGGTGGCATGAGGGCGGCATGAGGGTGGCATGAGGGCGGCATGCAACGGCTGGCTGAGGATGAGAGCAACAGGAGCAAAGAAACGATGGGACCTTACTTGGCCCTATCAGCGCCTGACAGGTGGCAAGCTGCGAGTGTTGATGCATCCACCCATCGACCAATGGCTTGCAGCTGATGGAAGGACATGGGGACGAAGGAGATTGGAATGATAACTGTCAGTGCATTGAACGTTAGACGTGGTGTGGTCACCCTTAGAGAGTAAATACGACCATGATACCTGCGTGCTAGCCCACCTGTGTGCACCCATACCTGTGTGCACCCATACCTGTGTGCACCCATACCTGTGTGCACCCATACCTGCGTGCACACATACCTGCGTGCAGGCGTCGGCATACTGGCCGATGGAGCAGAGCAGATGCACGGCTGTGAGCGGCTCCCCCGCCAGCACCATGTTCGTCGCCACCACCTGCTCCCACCCATGCCACCACACCCACGCCACGCCACAACAACCACGCCACACCACAACACCCATGCCACCCATGCCACCCACGAGAGAGGGAAATGAGACGACAGAGGGAATGGGGTGAGATAGCAGTCAGGGGCAGTGGAGGGCAGCTTGGAGAAAAACTTGCCTTGGCAGCCAGGTGGTGCATGGAGGGCAGCTTGCCTTGGCAGCCAGGTGGTGCATGGAGGGCAGCTTGCCTTGGCAGTCAGGTGGTGCATGGAGGGCAGCTTGCCTTGGCAGCCAGGTGGTGCATGGAGGGCAGCTTGCCTTGGCAGCCAGGTGGTGCATGGAGGGCGAGACAGCAGTGCTGAGCGCCACGGCACGAAGGGCGTCGCGGTGGAAGGCGGGCGAGTCGAAGGGCGTGGCCAGCAGCAGCGTCACCGCCGCCTCCAGATCGCCCACCATGATGAACCTGCCCGTGTACCCAACCCGGGGGGTAAGGGGGGAAGGAGAGGTGGGGAGGCAAGGAATGATTGGGCCAGTGCGGGGAGGCAAGGAATGATTGGGCCAGTGCGGGGAGGCAAGGAATGATTGGGCCAGTGCGGGGAAGGCAAGGAATGATTGGGCCAGTGCGGGGAGGCAAGGAATGATTGGGCCAGTGCGGGGAGGCAAGGAATGATTGGGCCAGTGCGGGGAGGCAAGGAATGATTGGGCCAGTGCGGGGAGGCAAGGAATGATTGGGCCAGTGCGGGGAAAGTTGGTAGGAGCTGTGGCGTGCAGGTGAAGCCTTCAACGCCACCACAACTGGTAACTTGGTGTCACACCTCTCTCCCCTCCTCGCTCCTCAATTCATAACCTCTTTGTCCACCTTGGACCAGTTGGCAATTCAGATTTAGGTTGGTGTTGTGGACGGACATCAGGCGTACAAACCTCAAGGCCCTCGTTTTTGGGTTTCTGGCCCGTTGCAAATCGGCCCGTTGCAAATCGGCCCGTTACAAAACAGCCCGTTACAAACCTTCCCATCACCGACCGGCCCGTTACAAAACAGGCTGTTACCGACCCGTGGCAAGGCAAGTGGGTGGGGGCCGTCCAGGTGTGCAAGTGGGTCGGGGCTGTGCAGGTGTGCAAGTGGCCCGTTCATCAGTGGGCGGCCCCCCATGGACTGTCCACCATGCTCACTCATCCGCACCACCCGCACGTCACCCACTCGTGCAACCTCTTGCTGCTGGCATGAGCGCATGCGACCTGACTGTGCAGTGGCACAGCCACACACACTGTAGGGGTGACTGTTGATTGGACTCACAAGTGAGGGTTGATTGGACTCACAAGTGAGTGTTGATTGGACTCACTAGTGAGTGTTGATTGGACTCACAAGTGAGTGTTGATTGGACTCACAAGTGAGTGTTGATTGGACTCACAAGTGAGTGTTGATTGGACTCACAAGTGAGTGTTGATTGGACTCACAAGTGAGTGTTGATTGGACTCACAAGTGACCACATTACTCACTCGTGCACGCGCTTGCTGGCAGCATCAGTGCCCGTGATTTGGCTGTGCCAGTGGATGCGCTCCAACGCCATGCGCCGCACACCCATCTCGTCCCCCCACACCTCCACCTCCTCCCCCACCGCCTCCTCCCCGTACCCTTCCCCCCCCGCCCCTGCTGCTGCCTGCCAGAAATGTGGGGCGAGGGGGGGAGGAGGGAGAGGGAGGGCATGACAAAGACAACAGCAGGTGTGAAGGGGTGGGGAGCAGGACAACATGACGAGAGCATAACACAAGGATACACTGGTAGGAGGGAGTGAGAGGGAGTTGAGCAGGCTGACATACATCCAGGTCCAGGCCTCTCTTCCACTGCTGCTCCTGCCGCTGCTGCTGCTGCTTCCCTTCTCCTTCTTCTTGTGCAGCAGCCCTCTCACTCTCTGCGCTGTGTTGCTCTCGGTCCCCCTCTCCACTCCCCCCTGCGTCTCTCTCCGCCTCGTCACCACTCGGGCCTGCTGTGCCATCAGCGCCGCTACCACCACTACCAGCGTCAGCGGTGGTGGTGGTGGCGTCAGCGGCGGGCGCGGCAGTGTCGGGCGGCCAGAAGGCGTGCGGCCCCGCTGAACCCTGCACGGGCAGGATGGGGCGCGCAGAGAGAGGGGTCGGGAGGGCAGGGGAGGGGGGGAGACAGGGAGAAAGCTGAGATGACACGGACACTGATGAAGTGAAGAGGAGCAATGCTTTTGGGAGGAAGTGAAGGGAAGGGAGAGGACGAGCACAGGGGGGACGGTTGGGAGGTGACGGATGGGAGGCGAGGGAAGGCGGCGGGGAGGCAGAGCGCGTGAGAGCGGCAGTGCAGGGGTGGGGCGCATCACTACATGAGTGCAGGCAGTTCCGCTGGCCTTGCGACAAACCGTTCATGCAGTGTGGTGCGGTGCGGTGGAAGGGGGGAGTGCGATGGAGGGGGCAGGCGCATCGAGGTGGGCAAGGAGGGCAGAGAGGTGAGGAGAGACCTGGGCGAGGAGGGCAGAGAGGTGAGGAGAGACCTGGGCGAGGAGGGCAGAGAGGTGAGGAGAGACCTGGGCGAGGAGGCGCAGGGCGTGCGGCAGCAGCAGCCAGAAGTGCGCCTCCTGGATGTCCCCGTAGTGCGCCGCCACACATGCACAGCGCGCCGCCACCCCGCCCCCCCACACCTTGCTGTACGCCCTCGCCGCCTCCACCCCCATCAGCTGCCCTGCCCGGGGGTAATGCGTGGTGGTGCATGGGCGGGCGGAGTGGATGGTGCGATGAGGCACATGCATCCTAGATGCCATTTCCAAGTTCAGAACGGAGCACCCACCTGCCACTCACCTCACCAACTTGCCACCCATCTACCGCCCACCTGCCACCCACCTTCTGCCCAACTGCCACCCACCTGCCACCCACCTGCGATCCACTTGCCGCCCTTGTGCCGCCCACCTGCCAAGCGCATGGGCCGAAGCCCCTTGAGCAGCACCTCCGCCATAGCAGGGTCGCCCACTCCGCCTGGCAGCTGCCCCCGCTGCACCACGTACGCCAGCAGATCGCCCCGCGCCCTGCCCTCCTCGCCCTCCTCCTCCTCCCCCTCGCCCTGCCCCTCGCCCACCTCGCCCCCATCCCCCTGGGCACCCGTGGGCAGCGGTGCCTCCAGCCATGCGGGGTGCATGCCCATCTGCAGCAGCAGGCGCAACGCCTGGCACGTGTAGGCATGCACGGGGAGGGAGATGAGGGGGCGAGTGGGGAGAGACGGGCATACGAGAAGGAGAAGGGTCGTGGAGAGAAACGGGAGAGCGAGGGGAAGGGCAGTGGAAGTGTGTGAAGGCAGGCTCAAGACATCTAGGCCATAGACATCAGGCTAGTGTGAATTGCAGGGTGCACCAGATCTCATTTTGATGCTGGGTGGCTTAACCCACCTCTCGCTCTCCCCATCCCCGTCCATGCAATGCGTGTTTTCCATCACTAGTGAATGAGCTTCTCAGGCATCCAGTTCATTCGCTCATGCCTCATCCCACGCAAGGGTCTCAGGGACAACAGCAGTGCAGGGGGAAGCACGCACCAGAGCGCAGGGCGCGGGCATGAGGGCGACGGAGCAGAGGGGCGAGGGGCGGAAGCGGTGCCACACAGCCAGGCGTGAGGCGGGTGGGCGGTAGAAGGGCTGCTTCAGTGGCGAGTTGCTGGGGGGGCATGGGGGTGGGATGGTGACGGTTGTTGAAGGGAGGGCGATGAGAGGCAATGGGGGGAGGGGCAACGTGGAATGGTTAACAGAGAGAGGGAGATGAAGGAAGGGCAATGGAGGGACAGCACGGCAATGCGTGGAAAGGTGAACGGGGGGAGATGGTGGGAGAGGCGGGAGGGATACTGAGCCCATGGCAAGCCTTGACAGCATGTTGATCATCTTCCCCACCACAGCACCTCATTCCACACCACAGCACCTCATTCCACACCACAGCACCTCATCCCCCACCACAGCACCTCATTCCACACCACACCACCTCATTCCACACCACACCACCTCATTCCACACCACAGCACCTCATTCCATACCACAGCACCTCATTCCACACCACAGCACCTCATTCCCCACCACAGCACCTCATTCCACACCACAGCACCTCGTTTCCCACCACAGCACCTCGTTTCCCACCACAGCACCTCATTCCACACCACAGCACCTCATTCCACACCGCAGCACCTCATTCCCCACCACAGCACCTCATTCCACACCACACCACCTCATTCCACACCACACCACCTCATTCCACACCACAGCACCTCATTCCATACCACAGCACCTCATTCCCCACCACAGCACCTCATTCCCCACCACAGCACCTCATTCCCCTGTTGAAGGAGAGAATTGATGAATTGAATAATGAGCCAAGAGGCCCTTTAGTACAAACAATGAGCAAGAGAGAGATGAGAGGGAAGCTTACCCTATTGGCCAATATGTTGACCAATGGGTGAGCTTGCTTGTGGCCCAAGCAACCACAAATGTGTGTTGGTTGGAATTGGTTGAGTTAAGGACCAATCCCAACCAACCACAAAATGTGGTTGGAGGGTACACTAAACAACCCCCCAATTCATAAATGTGCTACACATCTAATTCTAGCCTATGTATGTTGTATAAAATACGAAATTACAGCACAACCCCCCAACATGCATAAGGCTAGAAGGCTAGAATCAAGAGGCGGGAGGCGACTTAGGAGGAGTGAGGCCAAGGAGATGAAGTAGTGAAGAGTGAGCCGCATGAGGAAGAGCTTGTCGAGCCGAAGGTGCCCCGCCTGAACAAGATCGCGAATGAAGAAATGACGGAGCTCAATGTGCTTGGAGCGCCCGTGAAACACAGCATCCTTAGTGAGGTGAATAGTACTGGCATTGTCACACCAGATGGTGGGACACCGTTGGGGGGCACCAAGTTCCTCAAGAAGGAAGGTGAGCCAGCGGGCCTCTTGCGCAGCCATGGTAGCGGCATACAACTCCGCCTCGCAGGAGGAGAGGGCGATAGTCGAGGAGCGGGTGGAGCGCCAGCTGATAAGGCCGCTGCCAAGAGAGAAGCCATAGCCCTGGGAGGAGCGACGATCCGGCCGAGCATCAGCCCAGGAGGAGTCACTGTAGCCGCTGAGGAGAGGTGGGGAGGGGCCGCCAAGGGTAAGGACATAGTCCTTGGTGCCACGAAGGTACTGGAGGACACGCTTGGCGGCCTGCCAGTGCTCTTCCATATGTTTGCCTGCGCCAACAAAACGAGCGAGAACGCTAAAGGGGTAGGCAAGTTCAGGGCAAGTGGAGACTATGGCGTACATGAGGGAGCCGACGAGCTCGGGATAAGGATGGGAGGAGGTTGAGGGGGAGGTGGGTAGAGATAGGTGGTGCCCGACAGAAAGAGGAGTATGTTGGGCACCGCCCCGGGCCATGTCAAACCGCTCCAAGACCTGCTGCAGGTAATGACCCTGGGAGAGAGAGATGGTGCGGGCGGAGCGATCGCGGGTGATGGTCATGCCCAGGTAATGCTGCAGCTCTCCCAAGTCCTTGCACTTGAGACGGCTACCCAACTCAGCCTTAACACGCTCCAACTCAGCAAGGTCGGCGGTGAGCAGAACCATGTCATCGACATACACAAGGATGTAGAAGGGGGAGGAGGGGGAGGCGCTGAGGAAGAGGCTGGCGTCGGAGCGGGAGGTGCGAAACCCAAGTTCAGCAAGGGTGGCGGCAAGATTAGCATGCCACTCCCTAGGGGCCTGTCGGAGCCCATACACAGGTCGACACAGCTGCCAGACAGAGTTAGCTGGGAACTATGTGGAGAAAGACGCTGGGGCAGCCCTGCGTCCTGCGTCCGGACGCAGCGTCCGGACGCAAAGACGCAGGACGCGCGTCCGGACGCAGGACGCACCCTGGAAATTTTTTCGGGCAGACCGAGATTTTTTTTTTTTTTCGCGATCGCGAAATTGACATTCGCGATTTCGTCGCGAATGTCAATTTCGCCGAAATTCGACACCCCCCAAGCAAATTCGACCCCCAAAACCAGCCATCTAATTCACCCCTCACCCCCTCCCCTTTTTGCAAAATTGATTTGGAAATCCAACCCCTCTCCACCACTCCACAACTAGGAAACCCAACCTTTGTGGTCCACCACCCCCACAAAGCCCATTTAGTTCATGAAACCTCTCATTTGTGCTCCCTTTTCTCACAACCCAATTCTCTTTCAAAAACCCTAGTGGTTTTAGCTCCTTTCCGCGCACCACCGTTATGGCTAGCTCCTTGTGTTCGCGACCTTGTGTTCGTTGCGCACAACTGGAACGTTGTGCACAACCACCACAAGGGTGCGGCGGGTGCGGGGCCGAGTGGGGAAGTCAGGAAGGCGGGAATAGTGGAGGGGAACATTCCCCCCCGACCCCTTCCCGAGGGGTACAAACTTGAGGAGGATGGAGAGGTGGAGGTGGATGAGGATGACCTCACCTTCGACGAGTACAAGGAGCAGGAGGATTTGGAGAAGGAGGAGGAGAAGGGGATGGAGAGCGAGGAGGATGAGTGATGCATGTTAGTTAGTGGTAGTATGCATGCATGCTAAACAACCCTTGGACTAATTGTGATTATGGAAATTTGGGGCTCACCTTCATGTTCTATTGTTGTGGCTGAAATTTTATTGTTGAGGAGAAATTTTGCTATGAAAGTGTGTTCCCCCCCCCCCCCCCCCCCTCTTACCCCCTCTTCCCTCTGCCCTATAACTTTTTTTTGGCTGCCCGGGGGGTTTTTTTTGGCTGCCCGGACCTGCGTCTTTTGCTGCGTCTCGGGGGCCCTAAACTAGCGTCCAGCGTCTGGACGCATGCGTCCAGGACGCTGGACGCGTCTTTCTCCACATAGGCTGGGAAGGGAAGGTGAAAGCCGGCTGGACGCTCCATGTAGATGAGCTCGCGGAGGACGCCTTGCAAAAAGGCGTTAGAAACGTCCATCGAGTGGATCCCCATATTTAGGCGAGCGGCGAGGTCGAGCACGGCTCGACCGGTAGCAGGTTTGGCGGTAGGGGAGAAAAATCGAAGAAGTCAACAGCATACCGCTGCGTGAAGCCCTTGGCACAGTAACGAGCCTTGTAGACGGGCGGCTCCCCTGGCAGCTGCTTGACGCGAAACACCCACTTCCCCTTCACCACGTTCGTAGAGGCGGGAGGGCGAGGCACATCAACGAAGGAGGAGTTGGCGATAAAGGCCTCCAGCTCCTTGATGATGGCGGCGAGCCAGAGAGGGGCGTCGGGGCAAGCCATTCCCTCCGCATACGTGGTAGGGATAAAAATGGAGGGTAGAAGGCGAAGACGGGTGTGCCGGAGAGGTCGAATGTGATGGGTAGAAGCGAGGGATTACAGAGGTGGAGGTCAACGAACTCCTCATGGGAGTCCTTAGAGAGGGAGGTGCGGAAGACGGGGATGGCTGCTGGTGCTGCTGCTGGTGCCGCTGCTGGTGCCGATGCTGGTGCCGCTGCTGGTGCCGCTGCTGGTGCCGCTGCTGGTGCCGCTGCTGGTGCCGTTGCTGGTGCCGCTGCTGGTCCTGCTGCTGGTGCCGCTGCTGGTCCTGCTGCTGGTGCCGCTGCTGGTCCTGCTGCTGGTCCTGCTGCTGGTGCAGCTGCTGGTGCCGTTGTGGACGCTGCTGCTGGTGAGGGAGAGGAGGCAGAGGGGGCTGCTGCAGGAGGAGGTTGATGCAAGACAGCCTGGAAGAAGTGGTGAAGGAGAGGGGAGAGAGGGGGGAGGGTAGAGGAAGAGAGCATAACAGGGGGCGGTGCACCAAGGATACCGTCACGTGACCTGGTATGGGGGTACCGGGTAAGTACGGTGCGGGGAGGAGGGGAAGGACGGGTCGGTGGCGAGGGAGGGGAGAGGAGGGGGGGAGGGGCACTGGGAGAGGAATGTGTGGGGGAGACCGGAGAGGACAGAGGTTCCAGGTCAAAGATATCACCAGACGAGGGAGGGGCACCGTGGGACGGGGACGACGGAGGGGGGGGAGGCGGGAGGATGGGGGGAGGAGGGAGTAATGGGGAAGGGGTGGTGTCAGACCAGACAAGGGGACGGGTGAGAGGGGGGAGTGGGTCAGTGGATGGGGGAGAGGAGTAGTAGGGAGTGGACTCATCAAAGACCACATCCCTACTGCGGACTAGACGACCTGAGGGGGGATGGAGGAAAAGATGCAGGGAAGGGTGCGAGGGGCAAGCTTTCCCATGGAGTGGGAGCGGTCAGAGGGATGAATAAAGACATATGCTTTTGAGCCCGAGACACGAAGAGATGAGACATTAGGCTTGTCCTTTGTCCACAGCTCAGTGGGGGTGGTGGAAGGGAGAAGGGGGTGAGGGTAAAGGTTAGTAAGGAGGGCGGCATGAAGGAGGGCGTAGCCCCACAGAGAAGGGGGGCAGGAGGCGTGGACAAGAAGACACCGGGCTGTTTGGGTGATCTCTCGAACACTACTCTCAGCCACACCGTTCTGCTGTGGGGAGTGAGGGAGGGTGTAAGTCTAGAGAATGCCACGAGACTGACAATAGGAGGAGACTTGGTTGTTAAGGAACTCACCACCACCATCAGAGTGAAGGCGGCGAACAGGGCGCCCAAAATGGGTGTTTGCCCGCTCGAGCCAGGCGATGATCGCAGCCGGGGCGTCCGCCTTCGTCCGAAGGAGAGAGACGAACGAGTACTGACTGTGATCATCAACGAGCACGAGAAGGTAGCGATGACCCTAGCGAGTGGGAGAGGGATTAGGGCCCCAGAGGTCCATGTGAACAAGATCAAGTGGCTGTGCAGCAACGGAGGGGGAGCTCCGGTGCGGCTGCTGCTTGAGCTTGCTATGAACGCAGACAGTGCAGGGGGGGGGCAGGGGATTTGGGGAGGGGAGGGAGGGAGGAGGGGGGACCGTGGAGGAGACCGGAGGAGACAGAGGAGCGCAGAGTAGCGAATTTAGGGTGACCTAGCCTGTGATGGAGGAGGATGGTAGGGTGGGAGAGGGAGCGACAGGAACAGTCAGAGTCAGGGGGGCGGGGAGGGAGGGGTGGGTTAGTGGGAGGGAGGGGAGGGGGGGGGAGGAGAGAGGGAGAGGCGACTTGGCAGGTGGGGGGGCGGGGAAGCCGAAGGGTGTACAGGCGGGAACGAGGACACAAGGGAATACGAGAGAGAAGGCGACCTGTAGCAGTATTGTAAAGGGCGCAGTAGTTAGCACCACCTGGGAAGACAGTGGTGATATTGGCTTGTTGGAGGGACCTTTGGGAGAGGAGGTTAGTGCGTAGGGAGGGAATGTGGAGACCGGTGATAGTACCTGAGGGATAGAGAGGACAAGGAAGGGTGGAAGTGTTGTGACAGGGGATAGAAAAGCTGCTTTCAGCACCAAGGAGGGAGGTGGGTGTGGGGAGAGGGCACAGTGTACCAGCATCACGAAGGACAGTGTCAGTGGCTCCACTGTCCAGGACGAAGTCAAGGGTGGAGGAGGGTGAGGCAGAGTACTGGAACTAAGTTTCATTAACAGAGGAAGGGTACATGGGAGATGCAACAGATTCAGGTTGACCTAGCAAACCGACAAAACCAAAAAAAGGGAAAGCGGTCACACTGCCACCTGCAGACGGCGCTGGAGATGCACCCGAGAGATGGGCTGCGGAGGCAGCACTCCCGGCAGTCCAGGTAGGAAAGGGCTGCTGCCGGGAAACGGGAGGAGGAGGGAGGAGGGGCAGCTGCGGCTGTAGGTCGAGCTGCTGCTGGAGATGCTGGAGCTGCTGCTGGAGTTGAGAAAGGAGAAGCTGCTGCCCATACTGCTGTAACCCCTGCTGCTGACTCCCAAGCTGCTGCTGCTGCTGCTGGGGAGGGGCAAGGGTCTGGTGGGCCTGGGTGGAGGAGGAAGGCTCATAGAGGGGAGAGGAACGGACTTCAAGGGGAGTGGGGCGTGGTTTGAGGGCAGGCCAGCGAGGAGGGGTGCCGGTGTTGCCACGGGCAAACCACTCATCACTGAGTGCCTTGAAGCATGTTTCTGTGGCATGAGTGGTTTGGCCGCAGCGCTGTCCCTGAGTGGGACCGTAGCGAGGCAGGTACTGACAGGGAGGAAAGGCAGCTGCCGCACCGCGACCCGCACCACCGCTACAACTGCCACCGCGACCCGGTGATCCGCCTCGTCCACCCCCACGCCCACTACCACGCCCACCCCCACGCCCACCGCCACGCCCACCCCCACGCCCACCGCCACGCCCACCCCTGCTGCTGCGCGGCTGAGCTACTGCGATTGTGGAGGTAGAGTGGCGAAGGATCTCGGCTTCGGTGGTGATAATCTACCGAGCGACTTCAGCAGGGGTATGGTGCTTGGAGAGAAGCTGCATGTAGGCAAGCTTGTGAGCGTCGAAGGCAGGTGTGAGGCCCTCGAGGAGGTGGCAGCAGATGACAGTGCCCGGGTACACCACATCGAGTGCCGCAAGGCGCCGAGCAAGGTCTAGGACACGGGAAGTGAAGGCAGCGGCGCCAGAAGTGGAGTCCATGGAGAGAGTGTCGAATTCTTTGATGAGGGCGTAGAGGGTGGCAACGTCTTGCCGATCGAAAAGGTCGACGAGGAGTCGCCACACGTGGGAGGAGGAGGTAGGTGAGAGCTCGCGTTTGAGGGAGGAGGGGACAGTGGCAAGAAGAATGGCAAGCGCGCGCCGATCGGCAACTCGCCAGGCAGTGATTTTCGTGGTGCAGTCGGCAAGGTCTGCGGTGTAGGTGTCAAGGTCCTCCTGGTACTTGCTGTAGCGGGCAGCGACGTCGTCATAGATGCGCTTCTCGTCCTCGTAACGCAGTTGCTGGTGCAGGTGCTCTTGGAGATTGGTGCGGTAGGTGCGGATGGCGGTCTCCGAACTCTGCGGATCGTTGACATTTGGTGCGAAGGTGGGAGGATCACCAGGGGGAGAGGGCTCGGCGCCAGGGTGGGTGGGGACAGGTCCAGTGGGAGAGGTGGGGGCCACGGGCTGAAGTCCACCACCTTCCTGGAAGACAAGCGAGCGAAGGTTGTAGCCGCTGATCACAACAGAGGAGAGGAGAACCTCGACCGAGTGAGCGTAGGAGTGCCTAGACATGAGCAAATTCCCGAACCCCTGTTCGGTTCGAGTCGAACGTGTTCGACTCGAACCGAACAGGGGTTTTTTTTTTGCCCAAAAATGTTCGTGACGAACACCTAGGTGTTCGTCACGAACATGTTCGAGTGTTCGTTGCGGTTCGTGCAAAAAAATGCACGAACACCTAGGTGTTCGCGAACACTTAGTGTTCGCGGGCGAACACCGAGGTGTTCGTGAACACAAAGTGTTCGCGGGCGAACACCGAGGTGTTCGTCGAAATCCAGCGCGTCAAAAATTGACGCGCTGGTTGGATCTAAAAGGGGAAAGTGACGATTGAGCTCATTCTTGGGCTCAATCGTCAATTTCCAGTTAGGATAGCATTCCGCCCACTACCCATTTAAACTGCACCACTCCCACGGTTTAAAGTCCACATTGAGGCTAGAAACGTTAAGTATAAGGGTAGATTAGGTTAGGAAACGTTTAAAAACAGAAATCAAGAGCATTTCGTTTTAGCAAAGAGTTTAGCAAGGCGGATGGATTCAGAAATGGTTGATGTAGGGTTGGTTAGCAGCCAAGACAAGGCTATTCCTGGCCCATCCGCACTACTAGATACTGCAACTGGGACCGCAAGCCCTCTCGCACCTCTCGAGCTCATAGGGGGGCAATACCTAGGAGTCCCCACGTCACCAAAAAGCTACAGGTTTAGTGGCGGGGGGCTGGCTGCACCCTCACATCGGTATGGGAAGTCTCGTGATGAGATCGAAGAGATTTCAGAGGAGGCCGAGGAGGATGCGGAAGGGGGGGGGGGGGAAGGTCAAGGGTGGTGGGGGGGGGGGGGAAGCCAAAGGGATTGGCTGGAGAGTGGCAGCTGGAAAAGAAGCGCCCACGCATCCAACGTAGTCCATCCGATAGCACCGACAAGGATTATGATCCGAAGAAAGATGGGGATTGCGCGGGGTTGAGGGATGACGACGAGGAGGAGGAGGAGAAGGGTGAGGAGGAGGAGGAGGAGGAGGAGGAGGAGGAGGAGGAGGAGGAGGAGGAGGAGGAGGTGGAGGAGGGGGAGGGAGAGGGTAGTGGTGAGGAGGCTGAGGAGGAGGAGGAGGAGGAGGGGGTGTCCCAGCTGGGGAAGGCTAAGAGGAAGGCCAAGGGGAAGGCCAAGGGGAAGGCCAAAGGCAAGGGGAACGGGAAGATAAAGGGCAAGGGTAAAGGCATAGAAGTTCAGGAGGAGGGGGGGGGAGAGGATGGTATGGCCGCGTCGGTAGATGAGAATGATGGGCCTTTAAAGGCCACGAAAGGGTGTAAGAAGGCCCCAGGTTGGCAGGTCCAGATGTTCGGGCCATTGGGGGCGGATGAGAAGCGCAAGTGGAAGATGTGCGATACCCGTATCAGTTGGTCGACGGGCACTACGACTCCAGGGGTGCGCCACATGGTTGCGAAGCACACGGCGCACCACGACATTTGGCAGTATAGGTCCCTAAGACCACACCTACTGACTAAGGGGGAGACTTTCCCGGAGGGTGGCTACGATGGAGTTCCCGACAGGAAGGTGGTGAATTGGCCACACGTGGCCTCGTGGCCCAAGTTGCCGGTGGTGCAGACCCCGAGCGCGAAGGGTGAGGCAGGCGGCATTGAGCGCTTTGTTACAGCGAGGCTGAGTAAGCTGAAGCTTCGTGCGGCGATCACGAAGCTTGTGGTGACCGGCGACTTGCCCTTTCGCATCGTCGAGCTGGATGCGGTGAGAAAGCGTTCACCCCCCCTCCTATTTGTTGTGCTTTGATGGATTGAGATTGCTGGCCGCACGTGCTACTTCATTGCAGTACAGCCAGCCATCATGGCATCATGAATTGATGTCCACCTTATTCGCCCCTCCTCGTGCTTGTATATATAACACCAGTTCAAGGAGCTGCTGATCCTGCTGAACGAAAAGTGTGGGGAAAAGGGCGTTATCCCATCACGCTGGACGGTGGCGCGCGACACCGTTGTCCTTGCTGACTTGGCGCTCGAGGCAGCGATTGCAGAGCTGGCCTCTACAACCTGTGCCATGTCGTACAGCACCGACATGTGGACAGGCCCGAACGGCAAGGCCGACATGGTGCTGACAGGTCACTTCGTGTCAGTGCAGTGGGAGTTGCGCCAGGTGATTCTTGCTTTCGTCGAGATGCCTGGCAGGCATGGGGGGAAGGAAATTGCTAAGGCGGTGGAGAAGGTGGTGGTGCAGTGGAAGTTGCAGACGCGTTGCCTCGGTCTCACGACCGACAATGCGTCTGCAAACGTAGTTGCTCTTCGGCACCTGGCGGAGGAGGGTGAATTCTCGGGGTACTTCAGCGAGAAGGCGCACTACAGGTCCGTCTTGTAGCTGGATTCCAAGTTCCTAAACCTGGTCCCTTTTGCTTCTGTCCGCACCATAACACCCTTGTAACCTCGTTCGCCGGTTTGAAACCCTAAACCCCTCCGATCCAACGCAGGTGCCTGTCGCACATTGTGAACCTGGCAGTGCAGTCTGGGCTGGGTGTGGAGTCGATGACGGTGCCCCTGAAGAAGGTGCGGGAGATTACGACGTGGGTGGGCATGTCGCCCCAGCGAGGAGCCGCCTTCATTGCGCTGCAGGTTCGGCATGGAGTGCTGCCCAATGGGCCGCACAAGCTCGTTCAGGACAGTCCTACGCGGTGGGGGTCCACACACGAGATGGTTAAGCGCTTCTTGCTGCTGAGGCCCTTCATCGACATGCACTTTGCCCGCGAGCAGGTACGGCTCCATTCGTATCCATTGCAATCTGTGTTGATTGGACGCGTAAGAGCTGTTGCTTTGAAGATTGTCAGAATCCACTACGCTCCAACCGTTCCCCAAGCCTAAGCACATGTACTCAATGTCATCCAACCCAATCTTGCGCCCTCACCTAATCAACAGGGCACCACGAAGGAAGAGAAGGAGAAGTGGCGAGGTTTGCGTGTGACCGATGTCGAGTGGGAGGCCTTGGGGGCTTTGGAGGGGTTTCTCCGTCCCTTTGCCAGAGTCTCCACGGCCGCCGAGGGGTCGACCTACCCCACTGTGTCGATGGTGCTGCCTTACTTCTACGCCCTCATCGACAGCCTGGAGAAGAAGCTGCACACAGGGACGCATGAACTAGTTCGGCCACTCATGTCTGCCGCGCTGGGGCACCTGAAGCAGTACGAGTTTGCCATCGGGGACGAGTACTGGATCGCGACCTTCTTGGATCCGTCCATGAAGGCCGAGTACTTCAGGATGACACAATGGGAGCTGATGCATCCAGGCATAGTGGCACGTGACGGTGGGCGGCTTAAGCCACGTATGAGTGCGGACAGGGTGGTGAGCTTGGTGCGCCGCCGAGTGGAGGAGTACCAAGCTCGAGCAGCACGTGAAGCTCCCACCCCACCACCAGCACCAGCAGCAGCAGTGGTGACACCGTTCGAGGACGACGACGACGAGTTTGTGTTCTCTAGGGCACAGCTGCAGAAGCGTGTTTCAGCTAGCGCAGCAGCGAGAGCGGGGGGAGGGGGGACGTCGGTGGGGGATGAGGTGGATCGGTACTTAGCGGAGCTGCCTGTCTCGGACGTGCCAGCGCTGCAGTACTGGCAGCGTGCGAGGAACATGGACACGTTGAGGCAGATGGCACGGGATTACCTCGCTATCCCCGCCACCTCTGCAACTAGCGAGCGAGCTTTCTCCATGGGGAGGAACCTCATCTCCTTGCACAGGCACAGGCTGAACACTGAGCGTGTTAGCGCAAGCATGACTCTCAGGTCATGGTACACGTCACACCCTGGGAAGAGTATTGGTGAGGAACCCGGCCGCAGCGGACAGCAGGCACCACCAGAGTTGGCGCTGGAGGGAGAGGGGCTAGATGAGGGGGATGAGGAGGAGGCTGTTGCTGTGGGGGGGGGAACTGGAGTTGAGTGAGGGAGTTGCATGGGGACTTGGTGCTGTCTGGCTTTGTTTTGCATGTCCTTGACTTGTCGTTGCCCTGAACTTTGAGCTGTTGACTTATTTATCCATATTTCACTAGACCATGTGTGCGAGACATTGCGGATCTTCGCTGCTACCTTTATTTACATTCTGATTTTGCTTGTAGAACACACGCCCTGAGTTTCTTACATGCACTGAATGTGATTATAATAGAAAGTACCCCCCATGGCAAACTGTTCGAGTTCGTGGCAAACTGTTCGAGTTCGTGCCAAACACCTTAGTGTTCGGCCATGCCTCAAAACTGTTCGACACTATACTCGAACGGGGAACACTAACATTTACGAAAACTGTTCGTGACAAACGTGTTCGGTTCGGTTCGAGTTGACCAAGTGTTCGTCAACTGTTCGAGTCAAACGTGTTCGGTTCGCTCGTTGCTCATGTCTAGGAGTGCCAATCAGCAGCAGTGTTGTCGGGTAGCAACTCGAGTGCATCAACAGTAGCAAGGTCGACGGAAGAATCCGACGATGCCATAGAGACGAGGGTGGGTGGAAACAAGGGCAGGAGGAGGATGGGGCGAGGGTACTGTTGCTGGTGGCGCTGCTGGTCCTGCTACTGGTGCCGCTGCTGGTCCTGCTGCTGGTGCCGCTGCTGGTCCTGCTGCTGGTGCCGCTGCTGGTCCTGCTGCTGGTGCCGCTGCTGATCCTGCTGCTGGTGCCGCTGCTGGTCCTGCTGCTGGTGCTGCTGCTGGTCCTGCTGCTGGTAGGATGGGAGGAGGAAGGGAGGAGCGGAAGGTGGGGGAAGGTGGAGGAGGAGGAGGGGGGAGCAATGTTATGGGGGAGGCAGGGGGGAGGGTGCTGCTGTTGGCGTCGCTGCAGATGCCGCTGATGATGCTGCTGTGGGTAGGGACGAGGAGGGCAGCCCTGTGGCAGATCCGAGCGCAGGAGGAGTGGATCTGGGCGCGGAAAGTGCAGATCTGGGAACGCAGAGCGCAGATTTGGATGCGCGGAATGCAGATCTGGTCGCGCTGAGTGCAGATCTGGTCGCGCTGAATGCAGATCTGGTCGCGCGGAGTGCAGATCTGGATGCGCGGGATGCAGATCTGGTCGCGCGGAGGGCAGATCTGGTCGCGCGGAGTGCAGATCTGGACGCGCAGAATGCAGATCTGGTAACGAAATGTGCAGATCTGGGTGCAGGAGGAGTAGATCTGGGCGCGGGAGGAGTAGATCTGGGTGCGGGAGGAGTAGATATGGGCGCTGGAGTTGCAGATCTGAGCACGAGGAGAGCGGATCTGGGCGCTGGGAGGGCAGATCTGGGCGCTGGGAGGGTAGATCTGGGCGCTGGGAGGTCAGATATGGGCGCTGGGAGGGCAGATCTGAGCGCTGGGAGGTCAGATCTGGGCGCTGGGAGGGCAGATCTGGGCGCTGGGAGGTCAGATCTGGGCGCTGGAGTTGCAGATCTGGACGTGCGTGGAGCAGTGCCTTGGAGGGCTGCGCCTTATGGGGCGCGCGGGGAGGGAGGACAGCGCCTAAAGGGCGCGCGAAGAGATGGCAGCTCCGTTCTAGAAGGCTAGATCTGAGGGACGGGGAGGAGAGGGTGGCCTAAGGACCGAGGGATGAAGGCGTGAGCCATTAGCTCATGATACCATGTTGAAGGAGAGAATTGATGAATTGAATAATGAGCCAAGAGGCCCTTTAGTACAAACAATGAGCAAGAGAGAGATGTACAACGTCAAACTGTATGGCTGTACCCCCTGCTGGATTAATACAAAGGACCATTTGAGAGAGATGAAAGGGAAGCTTACCCTATTGGCCAATATGTTGACCAATGGGTGAGCTTGCTTATGGCCCAAGCAACCACAAATGTGTGTTGGTTGGGATTGGTTGAGTTAAGGACCAATCCCAACCAACCACAAAATGTGGTTGGAGGGTACACTAAACAACCCCCCAATTTATAAATGTGCTACACATCTAATTCTAGCCTATGTATGTTGTAAAAAATATGAAACTACAACATCCCCACCACAGCACCTCATTCCACACCACAGCACCTCATTCCCCACCACAGCACCTCATTCCCCACCACAGCACCTCATTCCACACCACAGCACCTCATTCTCCACCACAGTACCTCATTCCCCACCACAGCACCACATTCCACACCACAGCACCTCATTCCCCACCACAGCACCTCATTCCACACCACAGCACCTCGTTCCCCACCACAGCACCTCATTCCCCACCACAGCACCTCATTCCACACCACAGCACCTCATTCCACACCACACCACCTCATGTCAGATTACTATCCTCATTGTAACCTACATCAATTATATAAGCCTAGGTCAGAGATAGACACCCAAACTTAATTTGGGTGTAGAACTAGGGTTAACCCTCGTTGGGGGTTGGATCTCAACCTTGGCCCAATTGTTTGGCCCCAAGGTTGGGTTGGGAATTATTGGTCCCCCAAATAATGTTGAACCACTCGGTCAACATTATTGGTCCCCCAATAATCCCTCAACCCAACTTATTGGTGGGGGCCAATAATGTTGGCTAGGTTCCCAACCAAACCCCTCATCCTAGCACTATGCATACCCCCATACTTCCTAATCAAGCTATCGGTTCTTCTTCACGTTTTCTCACATGGTATCCAGAGCCACTACGGCTCACGCCTAGGGATGAGCAGGGGGTGAACTCGAACATGTTCGAGTTCGCCCCCTCTCGAAGTTCGGTTCGGCGGACGACTTGGGCGAAAATTGGTGTTCGCCGTTCGCCCTAGGAGGCGAACGAATTGCTGCAGCAGGCGAACACGAGCATGTTCAAGGCGAACAGGTTCGTGTTCGCCCAGGGGGATATTCGATATAGTCACACAGGTCAGAAAGCGATTTTGAAGGTTCAGGATGATAGCAAAAGGTTTGCAGGGTGCATATGTGTGCATGCAACGAACCCAGTACTACAACATCATGTTCTGTGAAGGGAAATGTCAATGTCAAACAAATTCCTACGCTAAGGCGCCACTGCTACTACCAACAACAGCATCCTCTCCACCAGCTGTGTCGTCAGCCTCCACACCATCCTCCTCCTCCTCCTCGTCCTCCTCCGCCCCCTCGCCCTCAATGTCGAACTCCGGTGGTGCGACGCCTCTCGGCCTTAAAACCCTAAAACCCCAAAGTAACGGTCACAAGCCACGGATAGCACGGTCCTAATTGAACTCATAGTTACGTGTGGCACGGAGAAATGCCCGCCCCTACAACTAGAGAATTGACCTCTACAAACTTGATCCCGTAGCTACCAACCCTTAGTGTTTTTGAAATTACCCTACACTATTAACTACTTAGATGAAATGTCAGTGTAAAAGTTAAGGAACGGTGTGCGATGGCTCTTAAAATCGCAAGGCTATGGCGGTTGTGGGAGGGAGGGCTAAGCGCCAAAGTTGTTTTGAGTTTGAGCTCAAGAAATGAGCTCAAACTCAAAACGGCCGCGACCTAAATTTGGTCGCGGCCAATTTTGATGTGAACACTTTGGTGTTCGCCTGCCCCCCAAATCGAACACGAACGTGTTCGTGTTCGCTTTTCTTTCGCCAAATGGAGGTGGCGAACGGCGAACATGTTCAGCCAAACACAAAACATGTTCGCCCCGAACGAATTAGGCGAAAAAAAAAAATAGTTCGGTTCGCCTCGAACATGTTCGAGGCGAACCGAACACGTGTTCGAGATTTTGCTCAAGCCTACTCACACCTTTCTCCGATCCTAAGGACCTCACGTCCCGCGTGCCGTATCACGCCCCCCTCCCTCACACGGCTCTTTGCCGCTCTTCGCGCCTAAGTTGCGCTATTACGCCTTCACGACCCCCCTCCAACCTCGTACTCAAGCACTCTCCTGTGCCTCCGCCGCATAAGTTACGACCGGCAGCCCGCTCCCTCCCCCCTCCCCTCCCCTCCCTCACCGCGGCGCATCCCGCCGACGAGGGCGGACGCGACCACGGCGGCGATTTCCGCCGACGAGGGCGGACGCGACCACCGCGGCCATTTCTGCCGACGAGGGCGGACGCGACCACCGCGGCGGATTCCATCGACGAGGGCGGACGCGACCACCGCGGCGATTTCCGCCGACGAGGGCGGACGCGACCACCGCGGCGATTTTCGTCGACGAGGGCGGACGCGACCACCGCGGCGGATTCCGCCGACGAGGGCGGACGCGACCACCGCGGCGGATTCCGCCGACGAGGGCGGACGCGACCGCCGCGGCGATTTCCGCCGACGAGGGCGGACGCGACCACCGCGGCGATTTCCGCCGACGAGGGCGGACGCGACCACCGCAGCGATTTCCGCCGACGAGGGCGGACGCGACCACCGCGGCGAATTCCGCCGACGAGGGCGGACGCGACCACCGCGGCGGATTCCGCCGACGAGGGCGGACGCGACCACCGCGGCGATTTTCGCCGACAAGGGCGGACGCGGCCAACGCGGCGGATTCCGCCGACGAGGGCGGACGCGACCACCACGGGCGCTCGCCGTGACCTCAACCACCCCGACAAGGGCGGACAACGCAGTCGCGGGCGGACGGCGCAGCCGCGGGCGACAAAGCGCAGCCGCAAGCGAACGGCGCAGCTGCGGGCGACAAGGCGCAGCCGTGGGCGGACGGCGCAGCCGCAGGCGGACGGCGCAGCCGCGGGCGACAAGGAGCAACCGCGGGCCGACGGCGCAGCCGCAGGCGACACAGCGCAGCCGCAGGTAACCCGGCGCAGCCGCACGCAACGTGACCGCACCACCCCTCCAGGTGGTGTCGTCCCTCCCCCCCTCCCCCCCTCCTCCTCCTCATGGCGGACGATTCTACTCCTCTTGAGCTCGGAGCCATTGACGAGCTCGAGCTTCTCCAGAACACTACGGCCGTAAACTGGGCATCGTTTGAAGACACACTTCACACGCACTTTGGCTCCGTCATCATTCAAGACTACTGCCTTCTTGATGTAGTCCTTGAGCACCCTAATGGCCTCCCACCTGTTCTCCCCCTTCCTCTTGAACCTCCTTCCCCTTACGCCCCTCCTCCACCCAAGCCTCTTCCCGACCCCCCGCGTGCCCCAGTTCATGATGACAACCCGGATCGCTGGGGGGCCAACCTGAACGCCTACAACAAGCTTCGCGACACCTACACCCTCTAGCGTGAGGCGTACCGTGTTGCGGAAGAGGCACACGCTAATGCGACTGCACGCATCCTCTCCTACGCTCAAGATGAGAAAGACTATGCTGAGGAGCTTCGCAAGCTCCACAAAGATGTTGCAGCGTGGCGTGTTGCTGATCGTCGTGCACTCGCCATCATCTTCTCCTGCATCCCCTCTCACCTCAAACGCGACCTTCGTCCCACCTCCTCCTCTGGACTCTGGAAAACCCTATCTACTCAGTACGATCGTCAGGATCTTCGCTCCCTCCTCGCACTCTTTCGCAAATTCCAAGACATCACCCTTGACTCCTCCCCCACTGCTGCGGCCTACATCCGTCGCCTCATTGACACTGTACAACGCCTCAATGACCGGGGCATTGTCATCTCTGAGTCCCTTCTCACTGCACGCATCCTCGACTGTCTCCCTCCCACATATGACACCTACCGCATCACTTCACCTCCCGCTACTGTCATCCTCCTCCTGTGGCTGACACCATCGAGTGGCTACTTGACAGCGAAACGGACATTCAAAGTGACTCTGCTACTGTCAATGCTGTCCAGACCCGCAAAGCTACCACAGGCAACCACAACAGCGGAGGAGGTGGCGGCCCAGGTGGCGCCGGCAGTGGTGGTGGTGGACGTGGTGGTGGGCGAGGAGGAGGACGTGGTGCTGGCCGAGGTGGTGGTCGTGGTGGGCGTGGCGGACACCCCTCACCCTCGGGCACCCTCCCCCCGTGTCAGTACATCATTCGTTATGGCTCCAACAAAGGTCAGCCATGCTCACAGACCACTCATACCATTGACACGTGCTTCAAAGCCCTCACTGACGAATGGTTTGACCGTGGCAATGTTGGCACCCCACCTCGCTGGAACATTGTTTTCCCACGCCCCTCTCCCCATGACATCCACACTCTCCCCGCCTATCAGCCTTCCACCCCCAACCTCCACAATGTCCTCACTCAACATCTCCCATCTCACATCCTTCAACAAGTCCAGCATCTTCTCCTCTCATCCACCCCCACTCCCACTCCTCCACCCACACCTCCGCTTCAAGCCCCTCCCCTTCACTACCCTCCACCCTATGCTGGCTGGCCTTACCCTCCTTACCCACCTCCTGGATATGGTCATGGACCTACTGCACCTGCTGCTAATCTTGCTGAGCAGCCCTCCTCCTCCTCCAACCCTCCTGGCTTTACTCCGTTCCTCTCTGCTCGATTCATAGGACATGTTAGCACTGCTCCTGCTGATTCTCTGTATGCCCATGCTATTAATGAGTTTCTCTTCCGGTACTCTGCCCTTTCCTTCTCCTCTTCATGCCTTGAGTTTATCCTTGACAGTGGAGCCACACACATTGTCTTTCGGGATGCAGGCACACTGGTACCTCTCCACACTCCCTCCACTATCCACGGAGCTGACTCCAGCTTCACCATCACAAGTCGACACACCTCCACCCTCCCTTGTCCCATCTTCCCCTCAAGTACAGTCACATGTCTATACATCCCCTCTCTACGCAACAATCTGGTAGCACGGTGTGACCTCACCAGGTTCGGTATCACCGCCCTCTTCCCGGGTCATGCACGCCACTGCGACCTTTTTCATACCACCACTGGCCGCTTCATCTGTCGCATTCCCCTCTGCCCTCACACAAACCTATACACATACCGCACCCCTCGCACCTCCATTCACCACCTCATCGCCCCCACCTCACCCCCTCCCCTCCCCTCACCTCCCCTCCCCCTTCCCTCCCCTCCCCTCCCCTCACCTCCCCTCCCACTTCCCTCCCCTCCTCCCATCCCCTCTCCCCCCCCTCCCTCCCCTCCTCCCCCCCCCCCCCCTCCCCCACCTCCTATCACTGTCGTGACCTCACCCACCCCGCAGTTCTCCTTCACCATAGGTTGGGTCATCCCAACTTTGCCACTCTGCGTCAAACTGTCTCCACTCAACTCCTTGACGGCCTCCCCCTCACCCTCCCCCATCTCCCCCCATCACCCTCCCCTCCCTGCTCAGTATGCGTTGAAAGCAAACTGAAACAGGCCCCCCACAAGAGTCATCCCTCCTTTTCTCCCCAGCCCCTTGATCTCGTCCACATGGACCTCTGGGGCCCCAATCCTTCCCCCACCAAGCAAGGTCATAAATACCTGCTCATCCTGGTGGATGACCACAGCCGGTACTCCTCAGTCTCCCTCCTTCGCACGAAGGCGGAGGCCCCGGCTGCTATTATTGCCTAGGCTGAACAAGCACGCACCCATTTCAAACGCCCTGTCTCCCGCTTCCACTCTGATGGCAGTGGTGAGGTCCTTAATAACATGCTCTCATCCTACTGCACCACTCATGGCATTATTCACACCTACACCCTACCTCATTCCTCTCCGCAGAATGGCGTGGCGGAAAGCAGGGTCCGTGAGGTCACCAAGACTGCTCGGTGCCTCATGGTCCATGCCTCCTGCCCGCCCTCGCTCTAAGGCTATGCCATCCTCCACGCTGCCATCCTCACTAACTTGTACCCTCATCCCTCCCGGCCCACCACCACTCCCACTGCACTCTGGACGTCCAAAAAGCCCGACATCACCCCCCTGCGCGTGTGGGGCTCCAAGGCGTATGTTCTCATACACCCTGCCGACCGCTCACGCAAAGCTGGGAAGCTAGCCTCCCGCACTCTCCCCTGCATTTTCCTTGGTCACAACACCTCCTCCCCGGACTATCTCTTCCTCCATCCCCCCTCAGGGATGTGGAGTTCGATGAAGCCCACCCGTACTACACCTCCCCCAAAGTCCCTAACCCCCTCCCTCTAACCACCCGTCCCCTCCTCTGGACTGACACCATTCCCCCCCCACCCCCTCTCCCCTCCACTTCCCTTCTCCCCCCCCCCACCATTGTCCCCCCTGCACCCCCACCCCCTCCCCCCTCTCCCCCCGCCTCGTCAGGAGACATCCTTGACCCCGTCCACCCTCCCTCCCCACCCACTGCCCCTCCCCCTCCCTCCCCACCCGCTGCCCCTCCCCATCCCTCCCCACCCCCTCCCCCTCCTTCCCCTCCCTCCCTCCCTGCACAACATCCCCCACCTCCCCCCTCCCCACGCCCTCCCCCACTCACTCCACCTCCATCCTCCCGGCCCCTACTTCCCACTCCCCCTCTCATACTCCGCCACTACCCTCACACCCGCTCCGCGGTCCCCGTTCTTGGTACCCCAAGGTCCACCCCCCCCTCCAATCTCTCACATCCATCCCCCTTCTCCGCCACCATAGCACCTCCCCTCTCCCCCGCACCAGCCCCTTAGGTTCTCTTAGCAGTCGCGCTCCCGTCTCCTTGCCCCTCACGGCAACTCAGCGAAGCCGAGCTGCAATGCAGCTGTCTCCCCGCCCCGACCCTCAGCGCAGCAGAGCACCAGTGCAGCTGTGTCCCCGCATCAGCTCGACCCTCCAACGCAGCTGTCTTGCAACTCCACCGCCTCCTTTTCCTCCTCCGCTCTCTCCGGACGTCTTTGAAGACTCTCACAATGAGCTTCTTTTCCTCCACCTCCTCTCACCCACCATCGCCCCCGTCGTCCGCACAATGGCTGGCACTACTGTCCTTCTCTTCTCCACCACCCCCACCATCTACGAACCCACCACCTATGAGCAAGCACTTGCCTGTCTTGACGCACCTCTCTGGATCGAGGCCATGGTCAAGGAGAGCAACGCCTTCATTAGCAATCGCTCTTTTCTCGACGTTCCTCGTCCCTCTAAGCACAACGTGGTCAAAGGCAGGTGGCTCTTTCGAGTGAAACTGCTCCCTGACAACGCTCCGGTCTACAAGGCTCGATATGTGGCAAAAGGTTTCACACAGACTTATGGCTCAGACTTCTTCGAGACCTACTCACCCACCGCCACTCCGCCGGTCATTCGCGTGTTTTTGGACTTTGTTGGCAAACGCGGGATGATCCTTCACTCCATGGACGTCACCATCGTCTTTCTGCAAGGCGACCTTCATGAGCTCATTTTCCTGGAGCGTCCAAAAGGCTTCCACGCTCCTCACTACCCTGCCACTGTTTGGAAACTGCTACGCCCTGTCTACGGGCCCAAACAAGCACCTCGGGAATGGCATGCCAAACTCTCCTCCACCCTTCGCGCACTTGGCTTTCGCCCCTCCCGTGCCGCCTCTTGCCTCTTCCTCCGCCTGACCCCATCACCCTACTACATCCTCGTCTGCGTCGACGACATGCTGCTGGCTGCTGACACAGCTGCTGAACTCCAGGAGGTCAAGGATGAGTTGCAGAAACGCCTCGCCTGCAAAGACCTAGGGGAGGTCCGCAACTACCTCGGCATGGAGATCACCCGCGACCTCATTGCCAAGACCATCACTCTCTCTCAGTCTTTTTACATCGAGAAGATTCTTGAGAGGTTTGGGATGTCCACCTCAAAACCCATCTCCACGCCACTTGCATTCGGGCATCGGCTCTCCCCTCTCACCACTCCCGTCACCTCCCCTCATCCCTATGCAGAACTTGTTGGGGCCCTGATGTACGCCATGGTCTGCACTCGTCCCGACCTTGCATACCCAGTCAGTGTTCTGGCGCAGTTCGTTGGAACCGGCAGGCATGGTGACGAGCATTGGAAGGCGGCCATGCGTGTTCTTCGCTATCTTTAGGGCACGAAGGACCATGTCCTCACTCTTGGTGGTGTGAACCCGCCCATTCTTCAAGGCTTCAACGACTCATCTTGGGCCGATGCACAGCCCGACCGTCGCAGCTCCCAAGGATATGGCTTCACACTCGGGAGCGGCCTCATCAGCTGGCGCTCCACCCGCTCCTCCTCCGTCGCTCATCCTGCGAAGCCGAACTATACGCGGTCACGATGGCGGCTCAAGAGGCACGTTGGCTCAGCTATCTGCTCACCGACCTTGGCTCCCCGCAACCCTGCCCCACCCTGTGGTGTGACAACGACAGTACCATTCACCTCACCAAGGAAGCCGTCTTTCATGGTCGCTCCAAACACATCGAGCTTCGCTACTACTTCGTTCGCGACCTTGTCCAAGATGGTCACATCACCATTCGCAAAATCGCCTCCTCCGACAACCTCGCCGACCTCTTCACCAAGGCTCTCCACCGCTCTAACCACTCTGCGCTTCTGCGTCTCCAGGGACTTGCTCCCCGCGGTGGCTGATTCAGGGGTTGTTACTCTCTCTTCCCAAGCTTATGGATTTATGTAGGTTAAAGGGTTGTGTCAGATTACTATCCTCATTGCAACCTACATCAATCATATAAGCCTAGGTCAGAGATAGACACCCAAACTTAGTTTGGGTGTAGAACTAGGGTTAACCCTAGTTGGGGGTTGGATCTCAACCTTGGCCCAATTGTTTGGCCCCCAAGGTTGGGTTGGGAATTATTGGTCCCCTCAATAATGTTGAACCACTTGGTCAACATTATTGGTCCCCCAATAATCCCTCAACCCAACTTATTGGTGGGGGCTAATAATGTTGGCTAGGTTCCCAACCAAACCCCTCATCCTAGCACTATGTAAAACCCCATACTTCCTAATCAAGCTATCGGTTCTTCTTCACGTTTTCTCACACCTCATTCCCCACCACAGCACCTCATTCCCCACCACGGCACCTCATTCCCCACCACACCACCTCATTCCCCACCACAGCACCTCATTCCCCACCACACCACCTCATTCCACATGCCATGGCATATCCACGACCCTCCATTGCACCATCCATGCCACCCCCCCCCCAACTCACGTGGCCATGTCGAGCAGGCGCACGGTGCCGTCAGCAGCGGCCACACACAGCAGCTGGCGGGCGGCAGAGGGCCCTGTGGGCGAGGGCCCCTGCAGCGGCAGCCAGTCCATCTCCAACACCTGCAGCGATGCCGCTGCCTCCGAGGGCATCGCCCCCGGCACAAACTCTCCCTCGTCCTGCACAGCAGGGGGAGAAGGGGGTTCTGTTTCGGGTAGCGTTGTGGGGGTTATGGTTCAAGCGGGCGCTGTGTGCGGTTGAAAGATGGTTGATGGCGGACGAACGAGGGCGGGGTGATGGAGGACGCACGATGGAAGGTGGAAGGTGCACGGATGGGAGACGAGGTTGAAAGAGGAAGTGCCCTGGTGGAGTTAGGGAGTGGCCACACGTACCGGCAGCTGTGGCGGGCTAGCCACACTCTACACCACTTGTTGAGTTGGGCAACCCAAGCTGGACTGGCCTTCAGTACATTGGTTAGGGTCCATCAGAATTACACCTACACATAAAGTATGTGGCTATGATTCAATTTAACACAAAGGGGAAAAGGGGCTGACCAGGTCAAAGGGGGCTGACCAGGTCAAAGGGGGCTGACCAGGTCAAAGGGGGCTGACCAGGTCAAAGAGAGCAAATGTGTAATCGTTGAACATGACGGCAATCCGACCGCAGCTGCTCGAGTTCACGAGGGTGGGGGCGAATCTGAGCCGTCGGATGGCCCCTCGGTTGAGTGCGTGTGTGCCTGCTGCCCCCGACGCCACGTCCCACCACCGCAGCACGCCCGCCTTGTCCCCCAGCGCCTGGGGAAGGAGGGTGAGATGAAGGAGGGGGGGAGGGGGTGGGGAGGGGTGGGGGGATGGTGGGGGAGGCGAGGAGAATGGGTAGAGGGAGGTGGAGAGGGGAGAGGATGGAGGGAGAGGGTGGGGAAATGGTGGGGGAAGAGGGTGGGTAAGAGGGTGGAGGGAGAAGGTGTAAAGCGAGGGTGGGGAAGAGAAAATCAAATGGGTGGAGAGGTCAAGGTGGCACAAATCCCATGCGTTCACTTAGGCTCGTGCATGCAGTGTGGTGTGGTGAGCATGGTACGCCGTGGGTGGGACTCACCACCACCTCCTTTCAAACGCCCCAAACGCCGTCTACTCACGCGCAGATTTTAGATTGAGAGATGTTTTGTTGCTGGGAAAGCTGGGAGTGACCCACAAAGGTGACAGCTTCTTGCGAGCGAGGCTTCCTGGCTACTCCCCGAGGAATGAGGACTTGGACTGCCTGGTCGTTCCCGACCACAGTGGCTTTAATTCTGGAGATTGCTTTTCATAACCTGGTGTTTGCATAGTCTTTCGTTCCCACCCTTGTCTTCCATGTCCACGTGCACTGCTGATGGTGTGCCTTAAGGTCTGCCCCGGTTCCACGAGATTTGTTTGCGCTTTGATTTACTCATCGAGTTAGGAGTTCAATGTCCTCTATTCTTGGTTTAGAGCAGGGTACAGTAAAGGAAGTCAACTATTGTTTTTTCTTTTGCCAAAAGTCTCTTCTCGACTGCTGCTTGCCTGGTCTAAATGACTGAAGCCACTCAACGCTAAGAGGATCCTACCAAGGAGTCTTAAGGCCCGCGGCCGAAATTGCGGACCGCACGGCTCAACAGTACTAATCTTGAGGAAGTGGTGCTTTGGTGTGTTGTTTTGTCAAAATCCTGGTTATGGGAAATACAGACGTTTCTGATTGGCTGGGGTTTCACGAGCTGAGTTTGCCAAGCAAGTGCTAGGGAAGCTTCAAGACGTTTTTGTTTGCAATTGGGAATTTTGCAACCAGGCTTGCTTCAATTCGAACCTCTGACTTGTCCGCTTGCCTAAGCAACATGGGTCGTAGGACTCACGACGACGGGTGTGCGGTACGCCATGGCTGTGACCAGCACGTCCACCGCCACAAACGATGCTGACGGCCACTTGGGCCTGCTCCGGTGCAGAGAGTGTGCAGAGGAGGGCGGGGGAATGGGCGATGAGGCATGGAGAGGCAGAGGAGAAGTGAAGCAAGAAGGAAGGGTTGACGGGGGAAACGACCTGAAGAGGTTCGATTATTATTGCTGAGAATCGTCAACACCCGGCACGCACCGGAAGTCCCTCACGCGCTTGCCGCGCAGCTCAAAGACGCCAAGCGAGCCGTTGACGAGTGCGAAGGCAAAGGACTCTATGGGGTCTGAGGCGGAGCGCGGAGTGGCTGCCAGCAGCGCCGCTGATGTTGGCGACGCTGGGAAGTCGTCGTCTGGTCGGTGGAGGGCGGTGAGAGGGCAATGGGAGGGCGAGGGAGGGGATGACGGTGGGAGGGTGATGGGAGAAGATGGAATGGAGTGTGCAAAGGGAGTAGGCGGAATGAGAGGGAATGGAGGTGATGGGTCGCATGTGGTGGAACAAGTGTTTCTAGTAACTCCCCATGAGGCATACATTGCGTGAAGAGCAGCACTGGTGCTGTGCACTACAGTGGCTCCAACCACTGGTGTGTGCGAGAAGTAGACAACATGGCATGCATGCACTGCAGCGGACCATACAGTGCACTGAAAAGATGATATCACTCAAGGGAAATGCCTGTCGCCTTCCAATCATCCATGGCCCATCCCACATGCAACATCCCACCACCCTGCACTTATCATCGCACCATCCGCTTATCACTGGTCCCTGCACATATCACCACAACATGCACATATCACCACAACATGCACTTATCACCACAACATGCACTTATCACCGCACCCTGCACTCATCAGCACACCGTGCACTCATCACCGAACCGTGCCCTTATCACCGCACCGCAGCACTCATCACCGCACTGCACCATTCATCAGCGCACCGTGCATGTGGCGCTGCGTGGCGGAGTGTGGGTCGAGCGACGTGGGGCTCTGCACGGGCGGCAGCGCCCACTCCATCACCGTGAAGGGCAGCGCCAGGGAGCGCAGCTGGAAAGGTGAGAGGAGGAGAAGAGAGAAAGCAACGAATAACCTGAGTGAGATCTCTCAACAGTCATTCTAGCATATTCCACTTCCACTCCGTAGCTCCAGCGAGCACAGCTATATTGGGGGAAGAGGTGGCAAGGAGGGAACAGGGAGGAAAATGGTGTGACAGAAAAAGGGTTTGATGTGACGAGCTACTCATGCCACGTAGCGTCGTGGCCATGGGGGAGTGGCGGGATGTGGAAGACAGAGGATGGTTCTGCTTCTGCAGTGTTGCAATGCCATGTCAACGTGGCATCGCAAAAGAGCATTCCATCTCACCATCTGGGGCGTTCGAGTCATGGCCCACACTTCAGCCGGCGCATCGCGGAACAGGATGAGCAAGTATCTGAACACTCACGCCACCATGTACGTACACACAGTGAGGGGGGGGAGGGGAGTGTGCATAACAAATTTTGCACGAGAAGCAAGGTGCAAGAAGGGGTAGAGTAGAGCGGTGTGGTGAGGTGAAGGCGGCAGTTGAATTAAGAGTGGTCAACGCAGATTCAAATGGGGCAACCAGGTGAAGCCACCTGGCAGAGGGCGAAGAGGTGCGGCAGAGCATGGGAGTGACGTCACCTGCCGGAGGGCGAGGCTCGGAGGCCCCTCATGGGCGACTTGTCAGGCTGCTGCAGCTGGCGGAAGGGGCGAGACTCGCCGCTGCGGATGCACGTCACCACCACCCTGTTCTCGTACCCGCCCGCCTTTGCCTGGAGGCCATGTGCAAAGGGGGGGAGGCGAGCAGGGGCTGACGCAGTGTGTGATGTTTTGTGCAGGGCAAGTGACGGAGTCCACTTGACCCATGCGCTCACTAGCCACAGCTGTGCCCAAAACACAGCATAGAAACCTCCTTGCACTCACCCACATCCCCACACCCACCCACACCCCCACACTCACCCACATCCCCACGCTCCACTCCCTTCCCACGCCCCCCTCTCTCAGCACCCGAGCGCACCTCGCTGAAGGAGAAGGAGACGAGGCGTGTGTTGCCGAGCCAGCGCACGCCGCGCACCATGGAGGGGTGCAGCAGGAAGGAGGCGGCGATGGCATGCACGGCCGTGTCCACCAGCTCCACCCCGCCCTCTTGCGTTGCCACCGCCACCAGCGGCACCGCTGCTGCTGCCAGCGACCCCGTCGCCGTGCTCAGCCCTTGTGGGGGGATGCGGGATGAGACATTTGGGGGGTGACAAAGAAGGGGGGGGGCAGACAAGATGCTAAGTGATGGCAGGCTTTCACGAGGGTCAAGGTTGTGACGGACTGCTCTCACCACAGCTGGTGTGCGGGGCAAGGAGTGGTGGTGGAGAGGTGGGAGGGAGCAGGCGCATGTGTAGAGCTGAGAGGTGCGTGCAGTGCGTGGGGATGGGTAGCACACAGCTGGTTGGTGCAGCAGTGCAGTGGGTGGGGTGGCACGCACCTGGGACGCAGGAGAAGAGGGAGGGCGCGGGCACGGAGAGCGTGGTGGGCGCGGAGGAGAAGCCGTGGAACATGCCCAGCAGCTCCAACTGGTGCCACGGTGCACGCACACAGGGGAGGGTGGGGGGGTAGGGGAGGGATGGGGGGCACGTGTGGAGAGGCAGGGAGGCACAGGAGGGCATGGAGTGGCGGGGTGCTTGAGGCTCATTGCACTACTGCCTTGCTGTGAGGCACCTCAACCCTCCTTGCCCCGCCCCCCGTCGACATGCCTTGCACCGCACTACACCGCACAGCACGCACCTTCATGGCCACCTCCACGCCGTCACCCATCGCACTCGCCCCCTCTCCACCACCGCCCTCTCCGCTCCCCCCCCCCGACCCCCCCACTCCCCCGTCCGCCCCTTGCCCCACCGTCCCCACCATCCCCTTTCTCCCCGTCCCCCGCTCCTCCCACCGCCCCCTTGCCGCCCGGCACGGGAGCAGTGCTGGCGAGCCAGTGCCAGAGCTTGTTGTCGTCGCTCACACACACCACCTGGCAGCTGCTCACGCCGTGCAAGCTCACACCCGCCGCCACACCACCGCCCAGGCTGCCGTTGGGGCGCGGGGTGGTGGCGGGCACGGCCTGCAGCACGAGCTGTGCCTCGCGGAAGGGCTGCGGCCACAGCACGGCCGCCAGGATGCCCGGGGACGGTGCCACACTGCCAGGCAGCGGCACCAGCGGCTCCACCGTGCGGATCATGTACAGCTGGCGGCCTCTGTGGAGGGAAAGGGCGGGGACTGGGTGCGGTTTGATGGGTTTGGATTGGACGAAAGTAATGGGCTCATGGAAGCATGATTGGGTGAAGCGCGAATAGAAAGTGCTTGCTTTGATTACGTCACCGCACTGCCTCACTTTCCCCATGCCCATTCCCCCATGCCCATTCCCCCATGCCCATTCCCCCATGCCCATTCCCCCATGCCCATTCCCCCATGCCCATTCCCCCATGCCCATTCCCCCATGCCCATTCCCCCATGCCCATTCCCCCATGCCCATTCCCCCATGCCCATTCCCCCATGCCCATTCCCCCATGCCCATTCCCCCATGCCCATTCCCCCATGCCCATTCCCCCATGCCCATTCCCCCATGCCCATTCCCCCATGCCCATTCCCCCATGCCCATTCCCCCATGCCCATTCCCCCATGCCCATTCCCCCATGCCCATTCCCCCATGCCCATTCCCCCATGCCCATTCCCCCATGCCCACCGATGCCCATTCCCCCATGCCCATTCCCCCATTCCGCCCATTCCCCCATGCCCATTCCCCCATGCCCATTCCCCCATGCCCATTCCCCCATGCCCATTCCCCCATGCCCATTCCCCCATGCCCATTCCCCCGTGCCCATTCCCCCATGCCCATTCCCCCATGCCCATTCCCCCATGCCCATTCCCCCATGCCCATTCCCCCATGCCCATTCCCCCATGCCCATTCCCCCATGCCCCCATTCTCCCATGCCCATTCCCCCATGCCCATTCCCCCATGCCCATTTCCCCATGGTCCCCCACTCTTCCCCCCCCCCCCTGCCCCCCCCAGGCGTACGGGCGGCGCTGCCACATGGAGAGTTTTCCGTCGGCGTGGAGGCAGTAGAGCACGTCGCTGGAGGGCGGCAGCAGCAGCCGGGTCAGGCGCGCCACACTGCGAGGCACGGAGGAGGAGGCCACGGCGCACCCGAAGTGCAGGTCGAAGCACACAATGTCCCGTGGCAGCACCGCGTACAGCAGGTCGCGCGTGTGCGGGGCGAACGCACACGCCACCACCGATGCTCCCGCCCCCATCGGACCCCCTCCCCCTCCCCCGCCCCCTCCACCGGCGGGCTCTGGCAGGGGCAGCTGCAGCGTGGTGGTTTTGATGCTCACGCCCCTCTCCTTACCTGCTCCCCCCCCGTTCCCCCCGCTTCCCCCGCTCCCCCCCGCGCCCCCCTTGCCCTGCGCGCCCAGGTCGACCTGCAGTGCGAGCACGAGGCCGCGCGCGCCGTGCACGCACAGCCGCCGCGGGTCGTGGGGGTCCAGCGCCAGTGACACCAGCAGCTCGCCCGTGGGCGACGCCGACCCGTCGTACCGCCAGATGACACGTGGCGTCGCCGTGGCTGCGGCGGCGGGCGAGGAGGAGGCGGCGGAGGAGGAGGAGAGGTCCCAGACGACGGCGGCACAGCTGGCGTGCAGCACGGCCAGCAGCCACGGCCGCCCCATCACCCACTCCACCGCGTCCACCGACCCCGCTGCCCCGCCCCCCGCGCTCCCGCCCGCGCCCCCCGCTCCCCCCGCCGTCCCCCCCGCGCGGTCGGGCAGCAGCCAGCGGTCGACCTCCTCGCGCACCACCTCCCACAGCGCCACGCGCCCCGCGCGGTCGCCCGCCGCCAGCTGCAGGCTCGACAGGTGCGCGAGGTCGCGGTCCAGCCCGCCCGGCTTGAACCGCGCCGCCGTCACCGGAACCACCACGCCGGCCGTCTCCGCCGCGCCGCCTGCGAGGCCTCCGGAGCGGTCGAGGGGCGGCGGAGGCGCGACGAGCGTGTGGACGAGCTGCATGCTGGCGAGGTCGACGATGCTGATGGCGGCGCCGCTGCTGAACGCCGCCAGGCCCTGCGGGCTGCAGTCGAGCGCGCTCACGCCGTCCACCACCGGCCCCGCCAGCGCGACCGGCACCGCCGCGGGCGCCGCCGCCGCCGACGCGTCCATCACCATCGCGGTGGGGTCGGGGCGGTGGGATGGATGCTAGAAATGCAATGCGGTGCGGCGAGAAAGCATATATGAGGATTTTTTTTCGATAAAGTAACGACTATGACGGTTACGATAGACAATAGCTTATGTGGAGAACAAACAGTTTAGGGTAAGTCGTTGTGAGACTATCCACCTGACCCGACAAAAAACTCATAAATTCGTACACCTAGTCCGCAGTATTTTAACCACGTCAACTGTTTGGTTTCAAACACCCTTAATTCGTTTTCGGGTAATGAGATGGGCACCCAGAGACTTCGAGGCTATTATTTAATAGCCGGATGCATTTCCGTCTGAAGAAACGCACACTTAGTGTTCCGAGATAGGGGGCAGATCGGCATTGGCAGAGTTTTAACTGCCGTCATCTCGCGAAGGGAATGCTAGATTCTACCCTCATTAATTTTCAAACTACTCGTTTAAACAAGTTTGACCTCTCAAACTAACGAACAAGAAAATGGATGAACTATGAAAGAGTTGGGTACAATTACTAACCTCAATTATGTTGTACCCCTTATGGGCTACCCCACTATAGCCTACACAATGTAAGCAATATAACATTCTGACACACCCCCATAGGCAAAGTGGGGGAGAACAAGTGGTCACAAGACCAGTCAAGAAAAGCAAAGCAAGCTCAGGGTGGATCACAAAGTCACCACACATTCCGAGCACAAGCAAAGAACCACAAGGCCAGTTCACATGCAGATTTATATAAAGAACACAAAGAGTACAGTGATCATAGCCTAGAAAGAGTAAGCATGCATGTATATGTATATATATATCGCAGTACAAGCAAAGTCATGCAGTGAGCAAGTGAGGCAAAGTAGGCACAAGGCCTAACACAGTAGAGAAGCGCTAATGATCACCAGGCGGAAGTGACTTGGTGAATATATCAGCAGTGTTGGCCCTAGTGGTCACGTACACAAGACGAAGCTGGCTACACTGCTGCAACTCTCGAGCAAGGAAGTATCGCAGAGCGATGTGCTTCGTTCTGTGCTTCAGTCTGTGCTCCTGACACAAGGCAATCATGGCCTTGTTGTCTACGTACAGAACTGGAGGCGAACGAGGCTGCTCTCCCAAGTCAGTCAGCAGGTAGGTGAGTCAGCGTAGCTCCTGAGCAGCCATGGCCCCGGCGAAGATATCAGCCTCACAACTGGAGCTGAGAACCGAAGACGAGCGGGTAGACCGCCAGGAAACAGAGCCAGAACCCAGGCTGAATGTGTAACCCTGTGACGATCGCTGCGTAGCTGAGTCGTCAACCCAAGAAGCGTCTACGTGACAAGTGAGGACAACTAGACCCCGTCCTCCAAGCACAAGCCCCATGCCCGACGTACTACACAAGTAAAGCAGTACCCTCTTTGCAGCATCCCAGTGCACCTTTCGGTGCCTACCGGGAGCCCCGTAGCGAGCCAGGAGGCTGAGAGGGTATGCGAGGTCAGGTCGTGTGCACGGCATCAGGTACATGAGGCAACCCACAAGCTATGGGTACGGACCACTCGGCTCTACGGACTCGTCCGAAGGTGGAGCTGAGAGCGAATGGCAGGTAGACAGAGGAGTGGGCTGTGGCGAGGAGAACTGGAAGTCGAAGCGCTGAAGGACCTAGTGCACCATGTGTGACTGAGTCAGGGTGATGGTGCGACGTGCTCTGTCCCGGGTGATCTGCAAGCCAAGATAGCTGCGCAGCTCACCCAGGTCAGTGCAGGTGTGTCTCTTCTGCAGCTCCGACTTCACAAGGGTCAGTGCCTCAATGTCAGCAGTGGCAAAGACTAGGTCGTCGACGTAGACGAGGACGTAGAACAGCGGAAGCGACGTGTCGGTGCGTAGAAACAGCGACGGGTCAGCACTCGAAGGAGCAAACCCCAGAGCCGCAAGTGTAGTCCTCAGTGTGTCGTGCCACTCGCGAGGCGCATGGCGGAGACCGTAGACTGGCCTGCGGAGGCTCCACTGGGTACCTGCAGGAAACGACCCAGTGAAGCCAGGTGGGCGGCGCAGCCAGATCTCCTCGTGCAGGCTGCCCTGCAAGAAAGCTGTACTGAAGTCCAGAGAGTGCAACTCGTAGTCACGCTGAGCAGGAACGTGCAGCAACACCCGAAGAGTGGTCATCTTCGGGGTGGGGGAGAAGGTCTGGAAGTAGTCGACCCCCTGTCGCTGACTGAAGCCTCGAGCAACGTAACGCGCCTTGAAGGCAGGCGGAGAACCCGGCGGCCGCTTCACCCTGAAAATCCACATGCCATCGACTATGTTCGCCCTAGACGGGGGAACTGCGTCGACGTAGGTGCCTGTGGACTTCTAGGATGCCATCTCGGCATCCATGGCTGCCTGCCACTAAGAGGAGTAAGGACCCGTAATCGCCTTTGCGTAAGAGCGCGGGGTCGGGATGTCTGGTGCATCCGGGTCTCCCTCAGGGGCAAGCAGCATGGAAGCGAAACGAGGTACAGCAGCTGCAAGATACTCAAGGTCCTCCTGCCTGTCCTCAAGGACGTCCGTGCCAAGAGCACACTCACCCCCGACAGACGGAGACTGGCATACTCAGACTCAGCAACAAGAGCAGTGGCGTAGTCTAGACGACAGGCAGCAGCAAAGTCAACTAGCTCAGCAACGAGGGCAGATGAAGTAGTGGACTCAAAAGAAGGGTCAGTGACAACAGTGGCGAGGAGACGAGAGACAATGGGACTAGCAGCACGAGCAAGGTCAGACTCAGGGTCAGGGACAGCAGGAAGAGAGGACTCAGGAGGAGGCGGCAGAGGAACACACAGTGGAACAGAGGAAGGACGAAGTGCAATAGCGTGGGTGCTGGGGACAGGAGGAGGACACGGACGAGGAACCCTACGACTAGTGGGAACAGCTCGAACAGGCAAGGCAGGACGAGACTCAGGTTCACGACGCTCTGTAAGACCTCCAGTCTGGCTGTAACAGCGGCTGTGACTGGTCAGGCGGTGGACACAGTAAGGGAGGAGTAAGGCCAGTAGAAGACGGGAGACCAAAAACCTGCTGAAGTAGGGGAACGAAGTACGATCACGGCCGCACAATACCTCCAGCACCAGTGCCGCCAGACATAGCACCCCCAGCTCCAACACCTCTAGCTACAGGGTCAATAGTCCTAGTGTCTTCAGCTCCAGCTCCTCCAGTGTCAGCGCCACCCGCGCCACTGCCTCCCGCTCCAGCGCCAACGGCTCCAGCGTCACCAGCTCCAGATCCTCCAGCTCCTGCGCCACCAGTGGCAGTGTCTCCAGCTCTAGCGCCTCCAGGCTAAGCAGGGTCTCCAGCTCCAGCTCCTCCAGCTCCAGTGCCCCCAACACTACCAGTCCTGGCAGCTCCATTACCCCTGGTACGAGCACCTCCAGGACCAGCAGCTGCAGCACCTCCGGTACCACTAGCTCCAGAAGTAACTCCAACACCTCCAAGACGAGTAACTCCAACACCTCCAACTCTAGTGTCACCAGCGGCAGAGACTCCAGCTCTGGCAGCTCCACTCCAAAGGCGGGTGCGCTGAGCAAACCAGTCGCGCAGCTGCTGCGGGGAGAGAGGCTCCGGCCGGGGAGACAATCGTGGCGAAGCACCCGCAGGACCTCCAGAAGAAGCAGTACCCCGAGGCTCAGCACCCCCAGACTCTGCACACTCAAACTCAGCACCCCCAGGCTCCACACCCTCACGCTCAGCACCCCCAGGCTCCGCACCCCCAAGCTCAGCACCCCCAGGCTCAGCACCCCCAGACCCAGCACCCTCAGACTCAGCACCCCCAGGCTCCGCACCCCCAGGCTCCTCACCCCCAGACAAAGCACCCCCAGACGCAGCACCTCGAGGAGCACCTGAGCTGACAGCTACCTCAACAGACACTGTACCAGGGAGAGGTTCTACCTGAGACACACCTGAAGGAGCAGGACCCTGTGGGGGGAGGGGGTCTACCGGAGGGGGACCAGGAGCAAGGAAGAGCGACAGGGGTGGGGGAGGGGGAGAACCGTAAGGGAAGAGACAGTAAGAGGAAACCGACTCGTCAAACATGACGTCCTGAGAAGGGAGGACACGGCGCGAGGTGGGGTGGTAAAACTGCTAGCCAGGCGCGTCAGGGGGAAAGCCAAGGAAGACGTACGGAATAGCGCAGGCGGAGAGCATGTCCGCGGACGTATCGCGAACAAAGGCACGAGAGCCCCAGACCCGGAACACCGACGCATCGCCAAGCTTCCCCGTCCAACGCAGTGTAGGCGAGGTCTCTGGCAAGGAGACACCGGGCCAGAGGTTGAGTTGATGCGTAGCGTACCGGACCGCAAACGGCCACAGAAAATGGGGAGCAGCTGCATGGATCATGGAGGTACGAGCGACCTCCATGACTAAGCCAATGCGGCGCTCAGCAATCCCATTTTGCTGAGGGGAGGCCGGAAGCGTGAACGACTGGAGAATGCCCTCCCCACGACAAAAGTCCCGCAAGAGGTCAGAGGAGAACTCACCACCTCGGTCAGAGTGCAGACACGATGGTCCGCACGGAACCGCTCGCGGAGCTGGAGACGGGCTGCGCGGATCCAAGGGATCAAGACATCAGGGACCTCACCCTTGGTGTGCAAGGGCAAGACTATGGTGTACTGCGTGTAGTCGTCAACAACCAGCAGAAAGTAGCGCTCGCGGCCCTGTCCACTGACGCGGGCTGGGCCCCACACGTCCATGTGGAGAGTCTGCAGGGGAGCAGTCGTCGGGGGGAACGAGGAGGAGTGAGGAGCAGTGCCCCTCGACGCAAGGAAGTCAGGGCGGGGCGGGGTAGGCGAGGGCGGGAGGGGAGGCAGAGACCTGAGAAGACTAGACACAAGGAGGCGGGAGAGCATGCCACGAAGGTGTGGCAGGGAGGGGCGACCAAGGCGATGGTGCCACAGGAGAGTCTGGTGCGACAGGAGGCGACACGAGCAAGGGGGTGCTACCGGACCTGACGCGCACACCTGAGTAGACGCAGCTACCGGAGGAGGCTCAGTAGCCCGTGTGTA